GCAGTGTTAAAGTCTGAGACGTTACCACTGAGCTATTCGTGCTCTACATGATCTCCTATATGATTAAGATATTTGCTCTACATTCATGGAGACTTAGCATTTTTTATTCACTTCCACTGCTAGGAACATTGTTGTGAGTTTTAAGAAATTCACATTCCATTAAATCACAAGGCTTCATTATGCAGTCTATCAAAGATCTTTAAGGCCTCATCTGTTTAAGGAACTTAATGTAAATACTGGGTAGTGGAGATTATCTAGTTTGATTAAAGTCATTAATTGATCGATGTAAGACCGTTATTGGAAACCTAGAATCAATTGACGTCTTCGGTCTAGTATGGAACTCCTCAGCAGTGCACACCAATGATCTCGCACGCTGTAGTTGAACCCAAAACCCTTGCCCCTCTACATCACTAAATCTTAAATTAATGTAGCCGGTACAGGAATAAGAAAGAAACATAGTCAGTTAGAAAAAGATGCACAAAGTAAATAGTAGTGGAAAATGAAAAAGAAACTGAATACTAAGAGCTAATATTTATTATAATGGCTAAACTAAAACCCTTATTGAGAAATTGTTAAAAAAATGGTGTCTGGTCATTGGCAGTTTATTTACGAGTTTGTATCCATAACTATATTTGAATATTTATTATTTAGATTTCTAAAGTAAACAACTGAATAAAGTACTTTTATTTTGATACTATAACATTTCTAGTTTTTCTGTTAAGCTGAATGAAATGTACCATAATATTATTATTATTATTAAATTTTCTATTGAAGCCACAATTCGAAGACCTTGGCAAAAGTATGTGAAATTTTGACCATGCTGTCATAAACTAGTAGACTCTTTCTAACTTACAGCATGATTGATCCTGTTAGACACAGTCCCCTGTTAGAATTCCGTGTAATTCATTTTCAAGTTAAATGTGTTTTTAAATATTTTTTATTTAAAAAAAACGGATTGCTGAATGTTTCAGGACTGAACTTGACCGTTAATTAATCATTGTACAGGTTAATTCGGTTTTTTAAAATAACCCCCCTCTTTTTATCGAGTTAGATAAACATAATATATGATATATGTTTTTAAGATTGCTTTTCTTTGTCTAAAGTAGACAAATATTTAGAAGTACTCACTTACCTACCTACTTACTTACTCCTAATAGAGCATGGGCCACCGACTAGTATACTCCAACTCACTCTGCCCTGGGTATTCCTTTCCAGTTCTATCCTATTCTTGTACATTTTTCTCATGTCTGTCTCCATTTCTCGCCAAAATGTCTTCTCTGGACTTCCTCTTTCCCCTTGGCCTTGAGGACTGTGTGTGAGGGCTTGCCTTGTGACACATTTGGATGCTTACCTCAAGGTATGTCCGGTCCACTTCCAGCACTTCTTTCTGATTTCTTCCTCCGCTGAAATCTGGTTTGTTCTCTCTCACAATAGTTGTTGTTGATAGTGTCTAGCCAACGGGTCCGAAGTTTTTTGCATAGACAACTGTTAATAACCTCTTTTATGTTCTTGATGATGGCTTTCGCCTGGAGCCCCTTAAGGACTGCTGCCGATCCCATGCCCGGATAATGGAGGGTGGTTGGGCATGGGATTAGCGACGCCATTCCGTAGAAAACTAACTCACTAAAAAAACACTAACCAGAAAGAATGTTTCGAATACCTGGTGATAAATTATTATTATTATTATTATTAATATTAATATTATTATTATTATTATTATTGAATTATTTTCTCCAACAAACGGATAAGATAATACATTATGATAGATTTAGTTAAAGCAATGAGTGAAAATTAATGTGCAAAAATTCAGTCGAGCATAACTAAAAGAAAAAACCAATAATAAAAATAAATGATTTCTATCATGATTTATTTTTTTTAGCCATAAGACGATTATATCGTCTTAGCAACTGTTTTTTTCAATTGGATATGAAAGTAATTTTGAGCAAAAAGATAGGCAAAGTTATTATCATTATTATTATTATAAGATGGTTTGTGCAGATTATAGAATTTTCATAATTTAAATCACTGACTATTCTTAGTTAGATCACCATTGAAAAACTGGAAGTATTGAACATCTATTTTATCGTAATATAGGATTCTTTAGCACTGAGCATCTATGGTTTAACATTTGGGAGCTTAAATTTTAGACTACTTATTCCTGATGTGATGGTATACATTTCTAACACCAATCACTTCACGATATTGCGTAAGTATTCTGATTTTCAATGGTGATCTAGCTATAGTCAATTTGTATTTTAATCTATGAAGGTTCTACGATCTCCACAAACCCTTCTACACTAATAACGAACGGTTATAAGATGTAATTCCTAGATTTGTGTTGAGAATCCGTGACCAGTAGGAGTGAAACAGTTATCCACCGCAGATAGTCGTTAATGGTCATGTAATATTCTGAAAGCTTTTGTATTTTATGTCTACTTTAAAATAAAATATTTTATATTTAATTGTAGTGTGTGAAGCATGGAGAAAATTGTATAAGTTGGTTATTTATTATTTGTGATTGACATAACCAACGAGTAATTCGTTGGTCGGTATATTTTCTAAATGTTTGTATGCTGTATAGTTTGATAAAGTTAATTTAAAAATAATTTTGATAAAATGATCTATTTCTAGTTCAGTTGTTACTTTCATATTTTAAACATTGAATTCAGTAGGAGTTTGCTAATATCAGACTAGGCGTCTTTAATTTTATCCAGCTTGATGTTCCATCAACTGCAATGATTGACAATTTAAACTTTCGTGGTCTGTTAGACAGAAATGTCTAACGGACAACTGATATTTTAAATATTAATCTGTTTAACTGTTATAACTCAAGATCCTGGTATTCAGTACTGGTGAAAACACTATAATCTCATTTGATATTGAATAAAATGGTACACATATACTTACTCTTTCTATTTCTTCGCAGGTTATTCTACGTTTGTGCACTCTACTTCCTATCATGTCTGAAAGGTTTAATGCTTGAAATTATAAAATAAACGTACAGCCTGTTGTCATGCTAAATACTCGAAACCTACAGGGGGATACTTCAATGATTATTATATGTTCCACTTGACCTATATTATGGTTGAAAATACAAATATGATTACATAGAAATTCACACATGTAAACAACAGTACAAAGGCTGTAACATGCCTTACTTGTAATCTCTATATTTTAAGATGAAAAATATTATAAGGCCAGATCTGATCCAGAATCTATTTAATGAAAGATATGCACTAATTTAATAATTAGGCAAATGTTTAGTGATTTTGTAGAAGTATATTCATGAGTAATATATTAGAGTATAGTTTATGTTGTACTAAGGATTACAGTTTGCAATTAAATATACTACTGATGACGAAGGTTTACAGAGAATTTTCAGTTTGGGATTTACATCAAGAACATTTTTAGTTCGACATTTACTGAAAACCAGAGAGCACTAGCCAGTTGTTTCTTTCTAGTACGGGACTTTATAGAAATGGATATTTCTGATCTCACCAGAGATGAAATCTTGGACCATTAGGTCTTGTGGAAATTACTTAAACTCTGGGTCACTGAGTTACATAATGCATCGAATAAAGAGTTTATTATCATATAATATTATTGCCTTATACGGAGCTGTTACTATTCAAGTATTATAATAGTCAATAAGTCAATGAGCATCGATCATAGATAAAATTACCCATTCTGTATTAAGGGTGAACATCGGTCACTGTATTGTTTTTGTTACTCATAATTGCGAAATCAGAAGTACCTTATAGTCACATGGTTTTAATTCAGTATTTTTTATAATTAATAATGATAATAATTTTTAATCAAAGATGGATAGTGGCTAGCAGTGGAATCCAGTTTGACACGCGTTTCGTTCTATTTGCGACTCGTCAGCTGGATGTAGCTGCATCTGAGTTGATGTTCACTCCTGGACTCGAGCCCAGTACCGTTCGCCTCAAACACCATCATGTTGTCTACTTAACTACTGAGTCCTAATAGCCACCTGCTTGTTCAATGGGGTGAAGTTTAAATCCATTTGGTGCTGTTTTTCTTGTATCTTCCCATTGTTGTTTAGGACCGCAATTGATCAGTCTCATGTTGGCATGTGTGCATCCTGTGAGGATTGCGTCGATATAGCCTTAAGTCACAAGCTTTTTAAGCCAAAATAGAAAGTGGCCAGCAGTGGAGTTCAGGACGCGCGTTTCACCCTATTTTGGACTCGTCAGATGGATGTACCGCACAAGATGCAGATATGCCAAGATGAGACTAAATAACAATGGGAAGATACAAGTAAAATAACACCAAGTGAATGATAATAATTATTATTACTGTTGAGTACGTAATATTTACTAATGAATAAATAATGAATTCATATTCTACAGTCGTATAAATTGTGTATTTGTCATGTATTTGGCTGTTCATTTTGATCATTAAGTTCAAATGTGACGAGATTTTATTGAAAAGAATATTCCTCAATTATGTATCTGAGTTTTCATTAATAAATAGTAGTCTTAATTGTTTGAGGTAAGTATTCACATATTGAGATAATTAGCTAGTGGTGAATGTCCTTTGAAGTTTATCCTTTCAGAATTCAGGAATCGATTATGTGAATAGATCTGTCTATTCAACCGCCTTATATCAAACAGTTGAATTATTTCAACATATAGGATGATTGTTAAAAGGCTGCATATTTCTTTGATGATTTTTATTTTGATTATTATCCTGAAGAAGTCCAGACAAGTTAGCTGGACGAAACGTTGGAATTACTCAAATTTCAATCGATGAGATTATTTCAAATATAATTTTCACGTATAATGACTTCTCTATACTCGTCGCCCAATTTCTGTCAAACTATTCGTTCTAATTCTGACAAATATTCGTGTATATAGGATTTAATATTATACAAATCAATATGTGTTTACAGTCATATTTTTCGACTAATTTTTATTAGTACCTTCATGTTTATTATTCTTATCGCTTTTATTATTATCTTTATTATTGTTTTCAAGTGAAATCTGCTCAGGGTTTAATTGGTAAAGATAAAACTGGACGAAGTGATCCATATGTGACAGTACAAGTTGGTAAAGTACGTAAACGTACTAAAACAGTTCTACAAGAATTGAATCCAACATGGGATGAAAAATTTATGTTGTATGTATTTTAAAGTAAAATTATTTGAATCAAATTGTTGTGTGTTTTTGGATAATCTTTCTGTGGAAAAGCAATTATCTAAGTGAAACACTACTTTTCTATACTTATTTTTACTTATCATTAATATGTACGAGTAAACGTGATGGAAATGATATCTCCTCTAGTGAATCGAAACCCAATTACATAGAAATGATCTAACTGAATATTCCTTATTGATTATTAGTACCAAATGATTGAGGCTCAAAACAAGGTGTATTGTCTATTTGAACCTTGAGTAGAGACAGCAATCGAAGAGACTATAGTGTTCTGTTGTTCCAATTTGTCGAAATGTGAAGCACACAATATACTTTCAAACACATTTCATTTAGGTGATTTACAAGTTCAGAAGTGGGTTATATAAATTCTAGGAGTTGCGCAAACTAATAACGTAAGTTACGTAAACATACTTAAAGTCAATAGTAAATTAGCATACAATGTGATATAAATGTGTGATGGATAAAGTTGCTGCGTTACATTAGGATGACGAGATTAGAGTTCAAATAATGTAGTAACAATGTTGATGGGAAAGACTAACCATTGGAAACAAAACTCTAGAAGACAGAAACACAAGTTATACATAACGTTATATTGGAGCTCAAAATTTATGGAAAGGTAATTATTGAATGGATCTTAGTCGTTGTGACGGATTCTAAGCCATATTGCTTAAAGTTTTGGCTCATTTATCACAGCTTTAGTGACAACCACAATCAAGTTTTATGCACCCACTAATTGGACTCAGTTCAATGGTCAAAGATGACTTCATGAATTGATGCCACTTTTTTATTTAATTCTCTTTCATCAAGTCTCAATTATATTGATAAAAGAATTTGATAATCATGATACATTATGAATGATTCAACTTTCCTTCTGTTTTCTTCTAGTGAGTGTGATAATGCCTTGGAACGAATTAAACTTCGTGTTTGGTGAGTTTACTTTTGCTTAATAACACTATAATGTATCATTTTTCCACAGAAAATACGCATAATAAGCTACCATTTTATTATAGTAAACTGTAGGAAGAACGATTAGAAAATGTAATAAAATATTGAGATCTATTTCTGTTATGGAAAACAGCTGTTACTATGGAAATTAGACGTTTCATTGTAAACCTTGAAGATTGAAAAGATGATACAAGGTTAGAAAAGTAGACAATGACATGCTAAAGGTCAACAATAACCAATGAAGATCGAGGTCGACAAGACTAGTTATGAGTCATATGTGACGAAACTCGAACACTTCATTTCTACCTGAAATATGTGCTAATGATGTTATTCAGAAGAACAGTGAAAGCTCCACGATCAAACCATCCAGCTCAGAGAACAAAACTCTAGTAAAAGCTAGAATATAAATGTATGGATATATTTTTCTGATTAATGTCCTCTAGTGAATGAAAATAAATTATTTCTATCTTTCTCATCAGTAGTTTATTGTTTATTTAAATAAATCAATCTATTTTTATGAGAATAATTTAGCCACTCTTCTCTCTCTCTCTCTGTATTAATGTAAAACAATTAATCATTTTGAGTAATTAAGTGTATACTAATAAGTGAGTAAACAAATTAATTGATCTTCTTTTCAATGACTTAATTGCTGATATTGATACTGTGAAAGAAGTTGTCAATTTTGCAAAATTATAAATAAATAAAAAATTATTATTTAAATAGTTGCTATGACATGGTTGCCTTTTTTTGCATCTTATCACATAAGAAAAAAACTTGATATAGTAATCAGTTTTCAACTGATTAACCGATTTTATGTTTTATGTTTTAATAAATCATTATTTAAATAGAATAATGGACTAGATATCAATTCATGAGGCTACGATGATCTGTAACTTTTGAATTCTTCAACTAGACTTTATTCATATCTCGGAGAATGTTTCATTGTTTTGAATTATTTATGGGAATTATTCATGAAAATACTCATTAAGTAAAAATAACTTAGCCAAGATAAAGAAATTCCAATGTCTAATAGATCAATATGGGTTATCTTCACTTTCCTAGTCTGATACACACAGATACAGCCTATTATACGTAAGTAAACAGATAACATAAATGGATGACCCTGAGATAGTCAGTAACTTCACTGAGACATAAGAATAATTCACATGTTCATTATCATCCGAATAGTGTACTTTTCTGATAATTATTAATCAAGTGTTCACACTGCACACAACGTACGATCACATGAGTCCAAATAGACTATCTCATAAGCTACCCAGTAAAAGACGTTGGGTTTCCGCATTAAGTTTGGTTATTTTCGGAATATAAGTGCATCCATCGATTGGTACTCTCTTCGAAAACACACACACACTTTGGATGATTACTAAATGTTTAGAGTTTAATTCCTAATGGGTTGTAGGTGTGCTCATCTGTATACTCTCAAAGTAAATACAGTTAGCTGTTCATTGTTTCGTGATTTTCAATAGATTTCCCCGACTGATGTCGTTTTGTAACAAGAATAATATTCACTTACAAATAACCTCTACAAAGCTCCCTTACATTGATTAACATCTGTAAAGTCTAAATCATACCATCGTGATTCATTCACAGAAAACACTAACAACAACTCCATTTAACAAAAGATGTTTCTTTATTTCATATCTTGATATATTATATAATGATAAGTTTTACATAGTGAAGAGAAAGACATAGTTCCGTTTTATAAAAGAATTCTATGACTAACTAAGATAACAATGACATGAAGGTCTGTGATGTACAAATTATTGTAAGTGTTTAACATAAAACATGAATGAATTAAATAAGTTTGTTATCACAAAGGTAACTATTTCGCTTAAAATTTAAATTCATTTTGATATGCTACAATGATGTGTAATGTTTACTATTCTTATTCAAATATTAACATGATCATGAGTCAATTGAAGCCAGAACACCATAGAAGACCTGGAAGCACTGGACGGCCGTTTCGTCCTATTGCGAGACTCCCCAGCAGTACACATCCACGACTCCACCTCGCGGGATTCGAACCCAGGACCTATCAGTCTCGCACGCGAGCGCTTAACCAGTAGACGACTGAACCGGCATCCAACGGTGTTAATGTCTAGCTTCAATGATTCGGGAAAGAGGTTTTATTTAGTTTCTGTATCGCAAAATTTAAGAGTTTGGACAATAGACCATATGCACATTTGTACACACTGAAGATGCAAAGACAAAAAGGGATTTGAAGAAAAATTCATTTATTTTATTGATTGAAAACATCATTCCTAGAATAATGACACACCTTATTCTTCGGGTTTTAAGAAGTTCATTGACTGATTAAAATACATAGTTAGAGCTCATAGCATCATATATCATTATGAGTACTGATTGAGTAATATCAATCATATTTTTATTGGTGATTATTTATTTGAATACCGGAATATTGTAGTAAACTTTATTCAAGTGGTTGAAAGCAATTGACAATTAATTTGTCTTACCTAGGTTTCATGTTATTTGCCAATGTTTAGCTAGGAATACCTGCTATCGTGAGGGAATTTGTAGCCTCTGTGAGATCCCAACACAGGTTCATAATCTGGGACATTACCACCGAGCTATTTGAGTAGTTACTGTGTTACTACATAACCAATATATCTATAACTGATTGACATCTGAACACTAAGACCATATTTTTCTATTCAAGTAGGTAGTGTCAGTCTAAATCCACCGAAAAGCATCGGTTCCTATTAAATTACAGGGGTACCTTGTTGGTGCTTACCAAATTGCACTAAACTCAAATTAAATATGGCTGCTCTTAGGCTATGTTCAACCACCAAACATCTCAACAATGTGCACATAATGTTCAGTCATTCAGGATAGTTGCTACATTACAACCTCGTAGGTAGAATTTAATCAGCAATCCCTGATTAGTAGGGCGCTGGGTATGGATAAGAAACCGATTGATAAAGCAGTAAATCTTCATCAACTGAGGTGGTTGTGATATGTTTCACATGTGTTCAACCATCCATCTCGACGAACGATGTTGTTCGGTGTAGGAGCAGGTTAGAAGAAAGCTAATGGTGGCCAAATTAAGACATGAGAGCGGGTCTACAAAGACAATGACATTTGGACTAAAGCATGTTAATTTATGTAAACTCCTTGGTTGAGGTTGGCCTGATTATCGTAGCCACTGGTTAGAGAGTTTGAATGACATGGCTTAAATCGTTTACAGTGACACATGTTCACCCATTCTTTATCTTCCCCCCAAATTATAAGCCTCTGTATTCCTCATCACGTTTTTATAGTTAACTAATTTATATTTTCTTCTTGAATTGTTTATTCGATGCCTATTACTATTGATACTGTTACTGACTCTAATAGTCTGGGATTCGGTTTGACAATTTCATCTCTTTGTGTTAATGGCGTATGACAACTTGAATCGATGTACTAACTGACTGACTGGGGGATTGAATAAACGCGATATTCTTGGTTATTCAGTCAATCGTAAATGGTAAACTCTATTGGATGTTTACTTCTATGTGTGAAACATCTGTTGACATCAATGGTCATCAAAATTTGGTTTTTATTATTATCTCATGGAATAGTCTATTTCAGTCATTGTTGATGTTGTTATTCTTAGTAGGTTTAAAGATTCGTTGAATTATTTACCACAGAAATGAATATCTAGAGGGAATGAACTGTCATTACCTATGTTGGATTGATATTGTAATAAAAGATTTCTTGCGTTTTATTCAGTTGCTTATAATTTTCAGTCAAGATGAAAATGTTAGGTGTCTGTAATGAGTAAGAACTCAGGTATGATAAACAATTTATTGTTTGATGTGAAATTACAGAGTGCCTAACATTGTGAAAGATCATGTTCATTTTGAATATTTTTTTCACATTTTTACAACTTTTTCCCTACAGGGATGAAGATAATGATTTAAAGTCGAAAATTCGACAAAAATTTACTAGGGAATCAGATGATTTTCTTGGTCAGACAATTATTGAAGTAAGAACATTAAGCGGTGAAATGGATGTATGGTATAATCTTGGTAAGTGATTTAAGTAAATTGAAATAATTTCAAGTTGTATGTATATAAGCATAATAATGATTATGATGATGTTGAATGTGATAATCAAATATTGAAACAGTTCAATAATTCATCTACACATAACACTTAAAGTAATTAACTATCGTTCACTTATCCATGTTTATACAAGTTCAGTCGATTCGTTATATTGTATAACAACTATCGAATGAATATTGATTAGTAACTAACTTCCTTATTCACTTGATATTGTTTTTACTTGAATCTTCCTATTGATGTTTCAGGACTGAAATTGATCAGTCTCTTATTGGCATATGTGCATACTGTGCGTATGCCTCGATATTGCTTTAATTTACAAGCATTATAAGCAAAGATGGACTGATCAATTTCAGTCCTAAAACATTTTATCGTTTCAAGAATTTTCAGTTATTCTTCACTATGCTAAACAAAACATATTGAAAAGAAAATGTTCAAGAATTAAATTCTCTTGTCAACTGGATCTGATAAATATGCATTCATTAATTCAAAAAAGAAGTGTATTCAACACACTAGGACCATTCCGAGATCATTATTTTTTCTTAGATAAAAATACGGTTTTAATTCACTCAGAAGTTTAAACATTACTCACTTACTTACTTACTTATGCCTGTTAATCCCAATGGAGCATAAGCCACCGACCAGCATACTCCAACTCACTCTGTCCTGGGTATTCCTTTCTAGTTCCATCCAATTCTTGTTCATTTTTCTCATGTCTGTCTCCATTTCTTGCCGAAATGTGTTCTTTTGACTTCCTCTTTCCCTTTGGCCTTGAGGACTGTGTGTGAGGGCTTGCCTCGTGACATTTGTTGTTGCGTTTGGGATAGGAGAGCCAGATCATCTGCGAAGTCTAGATCGTCCAGCTGCATTCTAGCAGTCCAACCTTGCCTAACACCGGTATTTACCTCGAACGAGTCTGTCAATTATCTTACATGCACGATTTTGCAGTTTAATCCATCACAGGAATTCCGTATGATATTGACTATCTCCTCATGTATGTCACACTGTCGAAGAAGCTTCTATAGTGTTGTCCCGTCCACATTATCAAATGCTTTCCCATACAATGGTTGGAATCGTGGGTCAATTGAAACTAAACCACAATAGAAAACCTGGAAGCACTGGACGACCGCTTCGTCCAAAAAAACCCTTCTGATACTCATCAACATGTGCTCACTAGTGACTGGCTTCAAGAGGTATATCCTGGAGTTCTAGTGAAAAGCAGTGACCAGTGGAGTTCAACCGGGTCAGTTGTGAGATAGTAACTCACTAAAGACAATGATGGATGTGTGGCTCAATTTCATGGATTAGTTGAAGTTAGACATTAACAACGTTGAATGCTGGTTCAGTGGTCTAGTGGTTAGGCGCTCGCGCGCGAGACCAGTAGGTCCTGGGTTGGAATCCCGCAAGGTGGGATCGTCGATGCGCACTGCTGAGGAATCTCACAATTTGAAAAAACGGCCGTCCAGTGCTTCCAAGTTTTCTGTGGTTGCCTAGGTTCAATTGACTAATGATCTCAACTATTGAAATTACTATAATATCCACAAAACTCCTTCTGAAACTAATTATTAATCAGATGATTTTTGACATACATTATGCTGAATATCTATTAATCAAACCTTTAAAGATGTGATGATTTGTTACTTCCTTGAGATTTCGATTAGAACTAAAAACGAAGCTTCTATAAACTGGTATCTACTGACAAATAGAAATGAACAACATATATAAGCGAACAATATTGTTTTCGATTAGATCCTCATCAGGCTTTACTCTAATATACAGTAATATTTATATGCATATACGAAATTATTAAACCAATCAAAGTAGTTTATAAGTCAATGATAACAATGGAAAAGATTACATAATAAGTAAGATGTGAAAAGTACAAATTGATGGTGTGACAACAGGTGCATTAGTTTTTGATAAGCAATAATAATAAACTACTATTATAAACTACTTTGATTGGTTTAATAATTTCGTATATGCATATAAATATTACTGTATATTAGAGTAAAGCCTGATGAGGATCTAATCGAAAACAATATTGTTCGCTTATATATGTTGTTCTAAATTTACAATATGGGAATATTTCAAATAGAAATGAACAAAAAACACTTCTATTGTTATGTAAAACAAATTGATTTTCTAAATAAAATTCGGTTTTTAATTGTTAAAATAATTCCGACGACTAGATACTTTAAACGTTATAAATTAAGAATCTTAGAAAGAGTTTGAACAACCAGGATACTTCAAACCCTTTTTAATAACAATGTACGCATCATATTCGCCGATCAAATTAATAGTTATTTTGATAATGGATTAAAATTTGGAAACGAAAGGTACTGGGTTCGAATCCCTGATTGAATATCAACTATACGATGCAAGTAGTCCAGCTGACGAGTTTTAAATAAGATGAAGCACGTGCCTTAGATTCCACTGCTAACCATATTCCGTCTGTTCTACATATAACATGTGAAAAAATGGTAATATCGAGATGATTCGTTCGAAATGCAAATCCGTCAATTGAAACTGATCATTATTTAATCTTGATTATGAACAATGAGATAATTCAATGCCTTTCTAACAATAATACTAATGTTGTTCATATTTTATTCTTTTATTCTCAAACCAAAATTTCAGAGAAACGGACAGATAAATCAGCAGTATCTGGAGCTATTCGTTTACTGATTTCTGTTGAAATAAAAGGTGAAGAACAAATGGCTTCATTTCATGTACAGTATACAGCATTACACGGTGTAAGTATTATTTTCGTCTGTTTGTGTAGATGTATGAGGCTTTTGGAAAAATAAATCGAGTTTTCGGTGATCTTATGTTTTGTGATCTAGACAATTTGATTATCGATCTTTCACTGTGTTTTTTTAGCTCAGAGAATATTACATCACGAAGAAGAATTCACCTGAGCTACAAACTTTCTTTCTCATTTTGATAAATTGAGGTGAAGGATTCTTATATTTTCTACAAAATTCCATAAACTTTAAATCCATTTTCGTTTTTAATCAAAGTGTAACATAAATAAAGAGATTCATCTAGATAGGCAACCATCGAAAACCAGGAAGCATTGTGCACCTGTTCCCTCTTATCATGAGACTCTTCAGTGTCCAGAACTAAAGATTTTGTTCTCAATCCTTCATGGTGGGTTGTGGATTTATAGTGTGAATTTGAGAGTTTATTCAAAGAATCTTTCGATATTTTGATGGGGAGGAATTATTAAAAATCACCATTCAATCAATCGCTAAACTCGAAATTACTTTTCTCTCTTCCTAGAAAATTGCAATGTACGAGAAAGGGCATTTATCATTATCACGTAGTTGCTAGCTTCAGTGTTCTATTAAATGTGAGCATTAAAATAAACGTGATAATACAGTTAGTTTTGTGTGTTCAGCATCATCAGCATAAAAACAATACTGACTTCTCACAAACGAAGGGTGGGGTTAGAAAAGGTCAACCCTAAAATTGCACACCTCACCTTGTCCCATGAGTATCCGTCTCCGGCGTTAAGGTCCAAACGAGTGCGGAGATAACACGAAAATTATTCACAAAAAGGTCGTGTGTGACCGACCTCAAGCAGTTGTCCCTTGGGCACTGCATTCATGCTCTCGGGTCACTAAGACCACCTCTAACCCAATTTTTTTCCAGGTACCTCTAGAAGAACTCTTGCATAGTGTGGGCAACCGGGAAGTGGTAATCGCCCTCATATCTCTAACAGCACTCTAAACCAATGTTCAGCATTTGCAAATGAACTGATATAGTATTAAGAGTAATTTATACTTACTCAGACTGGACGAAAAACGTCAACTAGGAAAATGTGAAAAATGAACTATTACCAATAGAGTTTGACTATGTCTAACATGAAAAAGACCTTGTCTATCAGTGATATCGGAATTACATCCGTAAACCACTGGATGACAACCCAATGATCAAAATATTAGGCTCTCACAACGAGATCTGAAAGTCATGGGTTTGATCCTCTGTGGAGAGGTCAAGTATGAGCACTACTATTAAGCCACGTACTAAGATTAAAACAATTATTCAATGCTTTCTGGTTCCTAATATTCATCAAACTAAAATCGGTCCAATGATATGAATCATAAAAAAATTTGATATTGATTTTCTTAAATTATCTATCATAAATATTTATTGCTTATCGTTTAATAATAAATTGCTGACTATCCATTTTTATATTTTCATGACATGTCAGTCAAAATTTGCCTGACTGTACTTTTTTTTGGAAATTTCATTACACCTTCAAAGTAGACATCCGTTTCGCATAAAGAAAAGGAGATCAATAAACAGATAAATAACTGGAGAGAGAGAGAGAGAAATTCTCGATCAAGATGTTATACATGCGTCTTAGATTATCTGTTAGCTGTAACCAACCAGTGGAAATTTACTTAAAAATATGTATTTTACATAATGTAACACCGAAAATGATCAACTTAGGCATGTATGTTTATGTGTGCATATGCGTTTTTGAAGTATGTATATGATTTGAGATACTTCTTATGGAAGAAAATATTGAAGGATAAGGTTTTATAGTGACTATCGATGGAATCCAAAACCTGTTTTTTACTCGATTAGGGACTTGTCAGTTCGGTATACTTTGATAACATTATACAGACTTGTATCCAGCATCTTACGCGTAAAACTCGAAAACATTATCCTCCAAGCTACAATGAAATGGAAATGTTTTTGAATAGGAATTGTTAACATTTAACTAATAACCAATTTATGTGGTTTTCCAATGAGAGCTTCAATCTTACTCAATATCTTAGCAAATTTATTACTGCTAAACTGTGAGTGTTTCTCGGTAGACCTTAAAATGTGTTCAGTAGTTGATTATAGGCAGCCTTAATTCTGTATTTTATAATTTTATAGTATTTCAAGTGTAGTTAATCAGTTTTAACATTCATCAAATTCAGTAACTAGTGTATAGTCATTAGATTGCCACATTCCTTGCTACTCAAGTTAAGTTTGTACGCTTTTCAGAAAAAATGTCGCTTAAAAAATCACTTTGTGCTTGTAACAAATTACAGACTATAGTGAAATTAATTTTGTCTACAAATGTATGGTGATATGAACAATGTTTAGAATGGACACAGAGTTCTAGGTAAATATGACATATAAGCTGATAAATATGGAAATTTTTCATCGACTGAGTTGGTTACATATACCTATTCTCCGACTACCTGATCGCAAGATGGTATCCACCGTAGGGGTAGGTTGGAAGAAAGTTAATGTCATTCAAACTGATACAGTTATTAATTCTAATACTCCATCATTTGTCTTGATTGTTTCATTTCGTTCAGGTCATGCAATCATGTCAACATGGACTGATGAACATACCTGACAAATCATAAACTGTATATGACTGATTGTCTGATATTTGAATTGTAGAACAGAAGATAAAATATTACTTTTCCATAATAGGTCAGCATTTATTAAACTTATGGTTGAATTCCTCTAAGGGTTAATAATATTACCAGTTTGAGGGGGTGGAGTGAGTTGTATTGGGCGGATACTGATTGATGTTGTTAAGCCTTTTTTTCCATCAAAAGTTTATTGAATTATTGAAATATTATTTCAGGTATTTATCTGAACAGTTTTCTAGTTTACTTCATTTACTTTGTTGATTCAACAATGGATATTTGTTGATTACAGAAGAAACTAAATATCGTAATTATACAGAGTAAATTAGCTTTATCATGGGAATTACACTTACTCAAGTAGTTGTGTTCATATAAAAAAAAACTGTAAATTACATATTTCTAAGAAACAATAAACTTGAGAATTGAAAACATTTACTCTCTCTCTCTCGTTTTTTCATTAAGATAAAACTTTCAACAATAAACTCATTTGAACTGTTGAATGATTTGATGGGAATTATGAGTTTTATCAGAAGAGGTTTGTGGAGATTTTAGAAATTTCACAAATTAAAATCGTGAGTCAATTGAAGATATACCACCATGGAAAACCTGAAAGCACTGGACGGCCGTTTCGTTCTAGTATGGGACTCCTCAGCAGTGGTTAAGCGCTTGACACGAGACTAATAGGTCGTGGGTTCAAATCCCGCGAGGTGCGGGGTCGTGGATGAGCACTGCTGAGGAGTCCCATACTAGGACGAAACGGCCGTCCAGTGATTCTAGCTTTTCCATGGTGTTCTAACTTCAATTGACTCATGATTTCAATCTGCGAAATTACGAGTTTTGTTAATGCTTATGGTGAAAACAATCGATAGAATTTTAATTCACAATGGATACATGCTCCTTGATATATTTAAAGGTGATTGATAGCTGTTCTCATATCAATGAAAGGTTGACGGCAAGTTTAATAAATCTAATGATGTCAAAATGTAGTCTAGATGACCATAAAAATTAGATTTATCATTGTCACAAAACGTATTAACAATAAATATTAATTGAATCATAAATTAATCAAAACTTAGGTGTTTGGTGACAACCAGTCAAATTGGTTACTTATATTTGAATAAAATCAAGTTATGGGACAATAACTGAATGTTTATTTTTCTTGATTCTAAATAAATAATCTTTATTTAAACATTAATAACACGAATTTTAGTGAATAGATCTCTTTTCAACGAATTTATTATCAAGCAGGTACAATCGTGTATATAAATATGTATGAATTTTTTGAACGTACTAATTTTGTGAGGACTTATGTACAATGAATAAACATGATAATGTAATGTACTATCGTTATTATAATACTGTATGTGTCCAAATAAAGTGTTGATTTATCCGAGAACTGAGTGAACTATCGAATGAAATTGTTCAAACTATGTGGCAGTGAGTAAAAATTTCAAGCAGAAATATTTCTATCTCATTTTCTATTATCTTAAACGACTAAAATGCCTTCATTGAGAGTATGCATCGGTCTAGGTTAAGCTGCAATTGAAAATCTGTCCTAGTATGGCACTCCTCGACAGTGTGCATACACAACCAAGCTGATGGTACATCTGTCCGGCGCTCTTCGGTCATCGATAGCACTTCAAATATGATTAGTGATCAATGGCGAATATCAATTATAAATTAATCTCCTCAAGTATTGTCTACTCGTTGACCATATACAATTATCCAATATAAAAAACATTGTGTTCTCTGGAACAAATAGTTTAATCATGAAGCTTTGACTGCCTTTCTTGAGAATATGATCAGCAAAACGTATTTGTAGTCACGTACGTGGACGTCGAAATATTATGTAAATGGTGCACATAGTAGACCAGTGAATCTTCAGAAACTTGGCACTTCGGTCACGCGTCAGTCAAAAGATATATCTAAACTGACCCGCTATATCATTCAATATAAAAAAATGCTGGGTGACTCCGAAACAGTGATCTAGTCAAAATAAACACAAAAACAAATGCCACACAGTTACGGACATTAATTAATCAAATTTCAGATCAATAGACCAAATTGTTAATCAATTATAGTAGAGAAATCCTAATAATTTGCTTCTTTTTGTAATATAAACCGATGACAATGTTGTCTAGAGAGACAATGAAAGTTTGTAAACCAAACCATTAGATATCAAAGTTACAACTTGAACACATGTTCATTGTATTTTTTTTCACTTCAGAGTATATTTTGTTATTTATGTCAAGAAAATGAACCAGTTTTTTTACCGGATCAAACATATATCACTCAGGCACAAAATAATGTAAGTGTTAGTGAATTATATTTTAATAATTAATAAGTTTAACACAATGTAATTCATTCCAACTTTTCATCGATTAATTTTGACGGATATGTTATTAATTGTTGATGAATAGAACGGTAATTTTATATTTTTGCGCTGTGGGTTACTTATATTCACATAAGTAGTATACAACGGTGGTCAAGTATAGAATGTATTTCAGGAGAAGGTCGATGAAGAAAGAATGGAAACGGAATGTAATTGGTATGAAAAGGCATCTACAATGAAATCTGAGACAATCGACTGATATTTCCAAAGGAACAGTCAAATTTGAGACGATGGATTGATATTTTACAAATTAACGATTTACTATATGGTTCTCAGATTTTATTGAGATGCTCTGTAATTTTGTGACAAATACATTCGATTGTCCCCACTCGTCTTCTTGTTCACTACATTTTCTTGGTACTTATTTCATTTCTATTTGTAATTTTTCATCAATTCAAACTCATTATCTCATAAGGAATCCAGCTTGCGTCCTATTGGTCTAATATGAAGTTTTAAAAAGTATCTGTTTTGAGCATTGAGTCGATATCCAATAGTTTATACTTTTATTATTCATCAATTTTCAGTAAAGTTTGATTATTTTCCATTTGTTAATAAGTGCTTGATAGATAAAAAAAAGGTAGAAAATACGATTACATGTTATTACAAAACCGTTTATTATTCGTTTTAATTTGCAAAGGTTTGTATTTACCCATTGTTCACGTTAAGGAATTCAATGTATCAGTGTGTATTGGGATAAATGAACTCAATGCACAAGCTAGTGGTTATTTGAAGTCGATAGCTCAGTGAATAATACGTTGGAGGTTTTAACAGAGAGGTTCGAGTCTCGATGTGAACCTCAACACTGGGCTGTACCAGACTCACCTAACCGACGAGTCTTAAATAGAGTGAAACCAACGTGCTACAATTTGATTTTAGTCAATACCGTGATTTAATTATCACTTCTTCGTTTCCATCATTGTTGTTCCCACTTTGTAATAATTGATAAATATAGCCTGAATGGATCATCGATGAAAAAGGCTGCCTATTTTCATCCAATTGCATAATCATCTATCATGTTACTGTAATTCATATCCGTTTCATCGGGTTCACGCCCACGATATGTGTATTATCTATTTCTTCTTTACTACTAACTTTATTATCAGTAACATATATTGACAATTCATTAATCGACGGATAGAAAATTGTTGTCCTGTTCTTTCTGATACTATCTGACACAGTATTGGAAGAAAAAAACTATCGAATCGGCTGTGAGAAAATGTCTATGATAACTTGAAAGTTTGAGTTTTTATTTCGTCATTAAAGACTGAAAACAGAAATGATACGAAACATGTGTCCTAAATTTTACTGTAAGCCAAATGTCAGAATTCTAATCAAAAATTATTATTACTAAGTATATCTAACTGACATAATAATAGTAAATATATATATTGTGTTTATAATATCCCAATAAGTATAAAATTGTATTTCTGATATTTCATAACTTAATGAAAACTACTCCTTCAGAGTAAGTAAGTAACTAACATAAAATCAACACAAGTTTAACTTACTTACTTACTTACTTACACTTGTTACCCCTCTTGGAGAAGTATAGGCCGCCCACCAACACTCTCCATCAAACTCTGTCCTGACAATCCTTCCCAGTTCTTTTTAATCGCTTTTCATTCTTTTCATTTCTCCTTCCAATTCTCTGGTACTGACAGTAGTGTGATTCCCGTCGTAGTCTGTTCTTTGGCCTTCCTCTTGATTCGTTTCCCTTCGTGATTCAAAGTTAGGGCTTGCCTTGTGATGCAGTTTGGTGATTTCTGTAATGTAAGTCCTATCCATTTCCATAGTCTTTTCCTAATTTCCTCCTCGGCTCATAACTGGTTTGTCCTCCCCCATAGTAGGCTGTTGCTGATGGTATCCGGTCAATGGATGTTGAGTATCTTGTGTAGGCAGCTATTTATAAGTACTTGTACATTCTTGATGATGGTTGTAGTAGTTTTGCACGTTTCAGCTCCGTACAGTGGAACTGTCTTGACGTTTATATTGAAGATGGTGACCTTGATATTGGTTGACAGTTGTTTTGAGTTGCATATGTTCATCAACTGTAGGAATGCTGTCCCTACTTTTCCAATCCTCGCCTTAAAGCTTACTGATGCAGAGACTGCTGCGACACTAGTTGTCTTCATTTGCACTTGTTCATGTGTACAGGATAGAAGGGAAAGATCATCTTCGAATTCCAAATCCTCTAATTGATTCCGAGCTGTCCATTGTATTCCATGCTCCCACTCAAATGTCGAGGTCTTCATAATCCATTTAACCACCCAAAGAGAGAGAAGGGAGATTGTAGACAGCCTTATCTGACTCCGGTCCTTACTTGGGATGAGTCTGTCAGCCGTCCTCCATGTGCGACTTTGCCCTGTAGTCCATCGTATCAATTCTGGATGATGTTGACGATTTCCCCAGGCCCACCATTGTCGAAGATGTTTCCATAATGTCCCCCTATCTACACTGTGAAACGCCTTCTCATAGTCAAGGAAGTTGATGTATGGTTACGCGTTCCACTCAACGGATTGTTTAACAATGATCTGTAGTGTAGCGATTTGGCCTGTGCACGTCCGTTTCTTACGCAATCCAGCCTGTTGATCTCGAAGTCGGGCGTCTACTGAGTCTTTCGTTCGGTTCAGCAACACTTTGTTGAAAACGTTTCCTGTTACGGACAGTAGTGTGATTCCTCTGTAGTTCTCACATTTGTTCAGATCTCTTTACTTTGGTATCTTGATGAGATTCCTTCTTTCCGGTCTGTCGGCGGCACTTGTTTCTCCACCCAAATCTTCCTGAAGAGAAGGTGAATCACACTTGTAGTTACTTTCATATCTGACTTTAGTGCTTCAGTTGGTGTGAAGCAAGGCGATCTCCTCTCCTGGTTCTCATGGATCTTCTGAATTTTTTATTAATACAAATGTGATCTATATGGTTCTCCATGGTGTGATCCGGTGAGACCCATGTAGCTTTGTGTATACGTTTCTGCTGCCTATAACAAATTTGTTTAATGCACATAGGTTCACAAATCTCTCGCTATTCTCATTTTTCTCTCCCGGTCCACGTCGTCTCATGATATCTTAATATCTGATGATATCTACTCAGACTTTAGCGCTTGGGTCTCTCATCAAGATGGTGAGATTCTTTCCTGGGCACTTCGCTATGACCGATTGCAGCATCTCATGGAACTGATCTTTATTGTCGTCGTTGCTATCATCGGTGGGTGCATAACATTAGATAACATTCACTGTAATTCCCTCTTCCTTTGTTTTGAATGATGCTTTGATAATCCTGGATCCTTCAACTCGAAGAACTGAGTTTAAATAGTTAAATTTGTTTAATCTGGTTGACGTTTGTTTAGCAAGATTTTTTTTCTATGAGATGAGGTTGCTGACCCCATGCTCAACCCTCTTCCTTTATCTGGGTTCGGGACCGGAAGTAACTCTTGAAGAGCTACAGGCGGAATTACAAGTTTAGATAGAAACTATTTAGGCATTAACTTTCTACCAAGTGCCAAACTTTATTCGGAACCATCACGTTCAATCTGGGCATTGATACCTATGAATGACATAATACTCTGATGAACACATTACTTAAATAGTCAGATGAAAATTATTTGCAAACTAACATTCAATAAAAAGCCTTCAACATGATTGTTTAGAAAATAGCTTTTAAATAAGTTAATAATAAGGCTGTACGCTGCATAAACTATTAAATTTTTCAAAATTCAATGGATTAGTCAATGATAGAATGGGACTAAAATATTTTAAGAGTATAAACAACGGAACTGCATTTATTCGATTTCTTTTAGAATAGTAGTAGTATTAGTAATAGTTCTGTTCCATACTAATCTCAAGTGTCCTCTCCTCCCCCCCCTCTTTCCTTACACACACATTTCCTTATCGTCGTAGGGTAATGAAGCATGGCGAGTATATTTCAATCCAATAGGACAGGAAATCGTTGATGAATTTGCTATACGTTATGGTATTGAACCAATATTTCAAGCAATGACGTAAGCTTGTCTTATTTTACCATTATTATTATTATTATTATTATTATTATTATTATTATTATTATTATTGATGTCCATATAGTATTCACTATAAACTAATTATTAGACAGGAACTAATTAAGTGTCGACAAATTCATAACCATTTTTTAATTAAGTGTTTCATTCTAACATGTTTACTTTTAATCTAGATATTTTGGCCTCATATAGAATATTATTTCCATTATTATTATTATCATCATCAATAGTATTGTCTTTATGTTTACTCAGAACTAAAGCCAAAGAGTATAGGTATATAGTGTTCATATATAAACAGCTAGTTTATTGATTGGATGTTGAGATTATTGTGTGAAACTGTTTCTAGTGGGATTCAATCGTGTTGGTAGTAAGACGACTATTTCAGGTGACAAAGAATAAACTTTGTACTTTACCTTGAGTTATTTAATTCCAGATCAAGCGAATAAGTGTATCTTATTCATTGAGAGATCCATGGTTTGTAGATTTGCTCCAGTATACAATGAACGGGGCCGATTACTGTTATTAAATGACAGAATATATCCCAACAATTGCACATAGTTACCTGACTTTTGGTTTGTGACAAAAATCATCTTCAAATGAAACTAGTCTTTAAACATCACCACCTAGCTACATAGAAAGCTGGTTGCATTTTTTGATCATTCAGTAATAATCATTGTCATTTACTTCAAATCCTTGTTACTGATCGATTTCTTTCAGTAGTCACAATTTAATTACTAGTGTAAGTGGCTAGACATTAAACACATTATGTTTTGGTGTTAGATAACTGGAGCCACTTTTTATGAAGCTTTTGATTTTACTGTTTTGTTTGTGAATATAGTTACTCGATGTCTAAATCACTCGTTTGTAAATACTTCTAAGTATAACAACACTGATTGATATAAGTTCATATTCAATAGGAAGCATTGGTCTTTTCAAAACTGTGCACAAGCCTTGCTCACAAGTACCATCAATCATTAAATCTTAGAATCAGAGATTTACATCAATTGCCCCCGACCGTCTAGCATCAAAAACTGAGATTTGTGATCTAAACGTTTTTTTATCTGAAGTTATTTTATGAATTGGCGTAGGTGTATACACTCTTTGTCTTCCCCTAAACTATGAGATTAAAATCGCTTCATATCTTTCTTTCTACGTACTAAATCTTTCTTACTGTACTATATCATTATATGCAATCTTTCTTTTATATATTATCGCCATTGAATTAAGTACTTCTATGATTTAGGTGTTCATCTTGCTGTGCTAATGAGGTGTGGCAACTTGGACCTATGTACCTGGTCCTACGTTGTAGCTGACTGACTTATATAAAAGATGTAAAAACTTCAACGATTATACACAACTATATATTAATAATTTCATAATGAAGGTCACTGACATTTTGAATACCATTGTTTGGTTTGTATGCATACTATTTCACTAACATTCTATGTTATTCTTTTCCATAACTTTTAATTCAATTGGAGTCCCATACTGGAATGAAACGACCGTTCAGTGCTTTTAAGTGGTGGTCTAGCTTCAATTGACATATGATTTCAACTATTTTTCTTTATTAAAGTGAAAACACCATGATTTTGTTTGTAAAAAAATAAGTCTTGAGAATTCTCATTAAATGATACCAAAAAATATATTACTCATGATGATGTGTCAATTATTACTGTCAAAGGACGGAGAGGGAAGGTATGTATGAAGGTATTTATGAAAGGATACTCGAAGTCAAGGTTGACAAGAAGATAGTGAGCGAATAATTCTTTCCTCTCTGAACGATTTTGAGCCATATCAGTCAAAGTCTCTAACCACTGATATTGGTTATCAACAGGCCTCAACCATGTAGTCTGCACCTATCTAAATGACTCAGAACAACTTTCAGTAACTTTATGGGTTGATGTCACGTTTTGGCTTGGTCACCTACATATTCCTCCCAACTTACTCCTGTACTAGCAGGCGTAGCTCATCACCGTAGGCGGTGGTTAAGCATACGTAACATGACCCAACAACTTTGGCCGAGGAAAATTCACCACCTCGTCAACCAGTTTGTCACCTTCAGGAAGCACCCTATACCTGACTTCAACATTGTCCACTCAGTCATTCCACAAAACGCGAGTAATAATTTGAAGAAACTTATGATCTTTTAATACTGACCTTAGTGACCTGGATATATCCTGTGAATTCTGTCCCAGTGTCATACACTTTATGAGCTATTTTCCGACTCTGGGACTGACTTCAAAAAGCAGAGATATGGTATGTTTATTACATGGTACCGTTGTATGAAAGAAATCTGAAAAAGACTGGCACCTGTCGGACCTTAACAATTATTTAGTCGGTGTCCTAGAGATAGTGTAACTAAGTGGCTTAAAAAGTTGTTGGATATCTAGTGGCGGTCCTGATGTAATGTTCGATTTATTATTAATATTATTATTAAAACTCTCACTCGCTTGTTTTTATGCATTCTTATCCCTTTTCATTATACTCACCTTCCTTTCTCTATCTCTTGATTATCTCATGTTACTTTTGTGCGGCGCATATATATTCTAGTGCCTCTTAATATCAATGTATGTGTTTAAATAAACGAATAAATAAGAATATAAATTTATTCTGATTCCTCAAAAAGTAGGGTTCCAAATTTTGAATCCCGGAGAACCCCAGTAGGACATTCTAGATCCCCAGTGAATGAATGTATTCTGATCTTCAGTCAGTTAAAACTGACTGAGTTAAGTGATAAGATCATCATAGTTGGTCTGATTAAATTGCTTTCAAAGTGTTGGGGCAGATTAAATCAACCTCATGGTCAGGGATATTGGTTCAGTTATCCATCGTGGTCAACATATTTATGAATTATTGATGAATTCCTGAAACAATAGTGTTTACGTTAAAAAGAATTTATACATGATAGAATCACGTAGGCTGTCATCGACTGTACCTCAATAATTCTAGGTCTAAATTAATAAAATAAATAAAAAATAGTTAACTGTTGTTGCTTGGAAAAACTGTTGAATCCTCCTGTGGTTTGTCATTTCTTCTAGTTAATCCAAAAATGGTTTCGCACTGTTTTTCATAGGATATTACTTATCTTTAGTTGAGGTTAAAATTCAACACCAGTTGTTACATTGAAACGTTTTTAATGTTATTGTTCTACATTCGAATGTCCTTTATAGAAAAACTTATAAAATCAAAATAACCACACATATTTTACACAAAATAATAATTCTAACATTTCATATTGCTTCCAAAGGATACTTGTGTAGTGAACAAGAAGACGAGTGGGGACAATCAAATGTATTTGTCACGAAATTACAGAGCATCTCAATAAAATCTGAGAACCATATAGTAAATCGTTAATTTGTAAAATATCAATCCATCGTCTCAAATTTGACTGTTCCTTTGTAAATATCAGTCGATTGTCTCAGATTTCATTGTAGATGCCTTTTCATACCAATTGCATTCCGTTTCCATTCTTTCTTCATCGACCTTCTGCTAAAATACATTCTATGTTTGACCACCGTTATATACTACTTGTGTGGATATAAGCAACCTACACCACACCTGAGTTTTTATTCAAATGGTTTTAATCCATTAAGTATTTCCATCAAATCTGTGGTTTCACATTACTATTTTCTTGAAAATTTCAGGTGACTATCATTGGATTTTCCAGAGTTAATATTACTTGACACAATTTGTTGTTCATTATTTATTTGGCTTAAATATATGCTTGAATTATTTGTCAATATTTTCAGGCATTTTGCATGCTTAACTGCTAAATATAATTGCCCTGGTGTACCAGCTCAGTTATCTGTACTCTTGGCTAATATAAATGCATTTTATGCACATACAACATCATCAAATAGTCAGACAGCTAGTGAACGATTTAGTGCAAGTAATTTTGGAGTAAGTTAATTTGTTATTTACTACATGTTATCTATTATTTATCAGATTTTTTTATTATTAGATAGAGGTTTTCATATAAGCTCACTGTAGAGGTTTAAACATACTAATTTTTTACTTACGCCTGTTACCCGTCGTGCAAAAACATAGGTCACCCACCAGCACTCTCCATCTAACTCTGTTGTGAAAATCCTTTCCACTTGTTACTCATTCTTTTCATATGTGATCCCAATTCCCGACGTATTGTGTTCTTCCAACATCCGCTTTTTCCATTACACTTCAGCGTTCCAAGTTAAGGCTTGCCTCGTGGTGAAGTTTGGTGATTTCTGTAATATATGTTCTATCCACTTCCAAAGTCTTTTCCTAATTTCCTCCTCAGCTCATACCTGGTTTGTCCTTTCCCATAGTAATCTGTTGCTGATGATATCCGGTCAACGGATATTTAGTATCTTGAGTAGGAAACTTTATAAATACTTGCTGATTTTTCACGATGGTTGTGGTAGTTCTCGAAGTTTCAGCATTGTACAGTAGAACTGTCTTGACGTTGGTATTAAAGATTGTAACTTCGATATCGGTTGACAATTGTTCTGAGTTCCATATTTTCTTCAGTGGTGAAAGTGTGGCCCTTGCTTTGGTATAGGTTCAGGGCGTTATGTTAATCTATATATTAGTGAATGAAGCTTTATAAAAGTGAGTATTATGGATGCTCATCGCAGTGTCGCAATGGGTAAATTTACTTATTTTATTGATGTCGTGCTCTCCGAGGTAGGTGGTTTAATTGTTGTGATTTCATTATCACTCTGGACAAAACATCACCAGTGCATACTTTATTTAGAAGTGAGCATTTTAGTCATTTGATAAGTGTTTTGCCAGTTCATTCTAACAGAATTGTCTGTGACTGCTTGTATCCGTTTGCCTTACAGATCTGAATTTAGCTAGAAATAGCCATTGAAAACAGTGAGGCAATCACATTGTTCGAAATGTATGCTGTTAGATGCAAACGAAGGAGTTCGAAAAAATGGCGGATAGCTTTATCCCCTGCTGAAACTGTATGTGCTGAAGAGTTTCATACTAGGATAAAATAGCTTATTGGTGCTACTAACTTATAAGTAGTTATTTAGTCAAGGTCAATTGGGAATGCAAAACCTTAAATATTCTAACATTAAAAGACCCCAATTCATAGTCGTTTGTAAATATGAAAATAATTTACATCCCGTGTATGTTTGAATCAAACTTGAAGTCAAATGAAGTTTTGAAAAGAATATTAGAAAAGAATTAATAAGTAGAGATAATGTAAAAATGAGAGATTATCCAGAGAGGATTTTGACTTAAAATTTACTGTCCTACCCGGTAAATAATTTCTCACAACTCATTTGTCAGCTACGGATTCGTGTACTTAGCTTGGAGCTACACTCTTTGTACTAAGGTTGGTATTTTTAACCGATTGCTGTTGTAAAGTAGGTAGAGTGGGGTTTGCAAATGAAAACACCGAAACCACTGAGACACTATTGCACTGACAATGAATTTCGACCTACAGTTGTAGAACCTGATGTGAGAATTCACTGTGACGAGTATTATTTTAATGGATATATCTTTTCGCTAATATGGAATTTCTGAATTTGACATTATATCACTATTTTATCAATATTGATACATGAAGCTGTGATTTAATTGAAGCGCCTGAATTAATGATAGGTAGTGAAGTAGTTGACCATACCGACCACTTCACTTGTCTTGAGAGTTCCTCAGTCCTAATGGCCTGGTGTCTGATGAAACGTTGGTATGACTTCTGTCAGTTGTAGCGTGGGTGAGATATCCGTCTACCTCTAAAGTACTAGTTTAAGGATAGAGGATATATGTAGGTTGTTAGAGTTCTATCATAGATGTTTTCGAAGTATTTCTTGAGTATTTAGAGAGCACCGCGTAAGTAATAGCTAGGTTAGGAATGACGTGCTAAGTGAGAATGGGAAATCGATTGATGATGCAGTAAATTTTTATCAACTGAGGTGATTGGAGTATATGTTACGTATGCTCAACCATCATCTATCTCGAAGGACGATGTTGTCTAGGGCAGGAATAGGTTAGAATAAAACTAAGAGTGATGTAGCTAACACGTGCAGTCTATTTACTAAGACACGGACATTTGAACTAAGCTATGTAGGTAGGTGTAAACTACGTGGTAGGGTTGGTGGGATTATCGTAACCACTAGTTAGAGAGTTTGAATGACAGCTCGAAATTGTTTACAGTGAAGCAGGTTCATTTACTCTTTGTTTTCTCTTAAATCCTGAGCTTCTAAATTCTACATAATTTTTATTATCTCATCAATTTATGCTTTCTTCTCAAATTGTATCTTCGATACTCAACCTTTTCTATTATCATTGATATACTTATTATCCCTACTACTATGGTATTTGTTCTAATAATTACACTTCACTGTATTAATGTATTGTGGCAACTTAAACCAATGTATATACCTCCCAGGTTCTATGTTGAGAATGATTAATTGATCGATTAACGTGACTGATATTTTGTTAATTTATTTTACGTTCCTTGCTTAATTCTAAAGTACAATTGTTGTGCATGTATTCTTTACAATGTTTCATTTACTCTTATTTATTTCTTATCTTTAATTATTGTTTACATTGTTCTGTATGTTCTCTCTTTTTTTTCTCACTAGCGAGAGAAATTCATTAAATTACTGGACAATTTATATATCGCCATAAGAATTGATTTGTCAAAATATCGTGTAAGTGTTTGTGAATATAATTCTTGTGAATATAATCTATATACACACTTATATATATTTCACTGATTGAAATCATGGAAGCACTGGACGACCGTTTCGTCTTAGTAATGGACTCCTCAGCAGTGCGCATCCACGATCCCGCCCCCCACGAGATTCGAACCAAGCACCTATCAGTCTCGCTCCAGGCGCTTAATCGACTAGACCACTAAGCCGGCATACAATGGTGTTAATTTTTAACTTCAACCAATCCACGAAGTTGCGCCACCATACACCATTGTCTCCAGTGAGTTCCTATCTCACAACAGACCTCACATCAGTCCCATACCAGGACGAAACGGCCGTCTAGTGCTTCCATGTTTTCCATGGTGGTCTAGTTTCAATTGACTCATGATTTCAACCAGTGAAATTTCTAAAAATCTCCACAAAACCCATTCTGATATATATGTATAACGACTAGTAATAATAATAATGCCGTCAGAAGTATTGGTATCAACGTAACATTAATAATATAAAAAGATGTAACTACAATTTAGCTCATTACAAATTAAGTGATCGATTACATTTTGAAATTAACTTCAATGATAATGATGATGTAATTAATTATTCAATTAAATTCACCCATATAATACTATATATATTTATTAAGATTAATTGGATAATACGATACAATGATAAGTAAGTTATCAAATAGATTAGTACTTCATGATGGAAATATGTTTGTAAAATTTATATGGAACATAAATGAATTAACTCCATTCATAGACATACCTTTATACATATATTCATATATTTTAATTTTATATAAGTAACAAACGATGATTATTTTCATAATAATCATTGAAGTATTGATTACGCTTTGATTTCATGGAGAGAAAAAAACATAAGAAGAAAGTCAGCAACATGAAAGAATAATCTGTTTGGTTATTTAAGTAGTGCCTGATATTGTGTTTGTCTTGTCTTTTAGTATTGATCGAATTCTATCGTTGTAATAGGCCTAACAGTTTTAAACATTTAAGTCACATTCACTATGTTCAGATATTAAGTGATTCGAGGTAATCGACAGAAGACGCTGCTTTTGCTAGTTGAGAACGTCCAGCAAAGTTCATTTGGAATCTTGAGATTCAAACTGTCAGCAACCGTTCTTATAGGCTATGATTTTATGACTGAGTCATTTAGACATTAACTGACCTTCATGACATGAAACCCAAGCCTACGGCTTCTTTCAAACGACTTCTAATCATTATAATTTAATAAAACGTTTTTGATGGTTTTTGACTTGTCTGACATTATAACTCACGCAGCAATTTTTAGTGACAGATTACTTTTACAAAACCATGGATTTCTTACCAAAACTATCTGGTCGTAAGGTCACATAGATTCCAAACAAACGATGTGAGAATGTAATTCAGAAAGCATGTTATTATCCCTAATCCACATAGGATTTAAACATTTTTTCTTCTGTTGATAATTCCATAATTAAGTTAACCTGTCACTGATCATTATCAATGTCGAATCTGATGTTTACATGTATCACTCCATGTTGTTGCACTTCACATCAGCTGAACGAGAGCAATTCAACAAGATGGCTGGTATTATGCAATAAACCTATTGTTGAAATAATACCTTCTTGAGGGAATAGATGTGATCGATGATTGGAAAGTCATGAATGATAATCGATAAAATGTGTAAAGAAAGATAGAAAATACTTACAATTGAGCCTCATTAGTGAACTGAGTTAAGCTACGTAAATTTATATCTTAGTGGTCCCAGTGAAGATCAGTGATTTTTCAACTCCGAATTCACAAGAATATCAGATGCGATTCTCTTTGTATTGTTTATTTGAATCTTCCCATTGATGCCTTGATATAGCCTTAAGTCGCAAGTATCTCAAGCAAAGATGGATGGTGGCCGGCAGTGGAATCCAGAGCACACGTTTCGTCCCATTCGGGAATCGTCAGCTGGATGTACCTCTTATCAAGACTTATTCGCTAAGTGGATAACGTGATGACGTTTGAGGAGAACGGTAGTGGGTTCAAGTGCCAGAGTGAACATCAACTCTGGGATGCAGCTGTATCCAAATGACGAGCCTCAATTAGATTGAAACGTGCGTCCTGGATTCAACTGCTATGTACCATCTATCATTTCTTATAATATCATAAGCAATTTAATTCGTATAATTTGTGACGCATTTTTACTTTATCCAATGTTAATTCAATCAGTTATTCAGTCATAATATTTATTGAATGATTATTTATGATACTGTTTTGAGGTAAACCTTGAAGAAGGTTAATCTTTTTAGTCAACAATGGTTTATGATGTTTTGTTATTAAATGTACTTCTGATTGATTAAATCATCTGTTGATATTCTTTGAGCGATTAAAATCAAATCGAACTGTTTTTGGTCTCAGTTTCTTTGATCGATGAAAGCTTACAGTTCACTATGACATTATTAACTCCAACTAGTTAAATTTACTTAAATCATAATTAATCTACTTATCAGCTGAATGTTACTTACACAATCGATATTTGACTACTAATTTGTACTTCGATAAGTTGAATCAATCGTAAATTATTCTATTTTTTATTTTCTGATCTAACATGATTGTTCATGAGGATTTCATGCAAATTTATATTGGATGATTGTTAATAACCATTATTAATAATAGTTTGGATTGTTCCATTGTTAGTATTCAGGACGGCATTTTCATTAGTCTTTATTAGTGTATATGTACACCTTGTACTGATTGTTTCGACATTATCATGTATATTCACAATAGATGGATTGTGATCAGCCGTGGAATACAGGATGAACATTTTGTCCGATTTGGGATTTACCCACATCCTAACGTTGATATCATATTAGGACTCATTGAAGAAATGCGTTGGTGTTTTAAATGTAAGATATTGTGTTCGAATCTTAAGGTAAACATCAAAACTGGCATGCAAATCCAACTGTCTGACTAGTCCCAAATAAGACGTAATATTCATCATGAATTTCACTGATAGATACAATCCATACGGTACATCAAAAATTCGATAGTTTTAAGTAATTCTACCATTACTTTCTATAATTTTAATAAATTTTAATTTTTGCATTTCTCTTCTCTTTATCATTAAAACATTGACTAGTTTATTAGCACTGTAATGAATAAAAACATAGGTGGGGACGACCAAAGGTATTTAAATACGAAATTACAGAATATCTTAGTAAAATATGAGAATCATACATTGCAGGTTTCCAGCATTTGTCCTTCACATTCTATATGATTATTCCACTTCATAATTTCTTCCTATTTTACCTTCTATTTTGTTCAAATCAATCTTCTTAACCTTCTTCTACCAGGGTTTCCATTTCCAGTTGATATTACATACTACTTGTATCTGTCAATATAAGTAGCATACACGACAGCACTTTTACAAAACAGATTGTCATTACTAACTAGACTAGTGAATAACATGAACAACGGATGTTTTGTTAAGACACGATTACGAAGATGTAAACGAATACACAAACAAATGGATATACAAAATTTTGTAAAACCTATCCACTTTTTTCCTATGGTCAACTCATCAATAATGTAACTGTGTTGTTGTTTTCGAAAGGGAATGAAAGGATAAAAAACAAATAATAAGATGAAAACATAATAAAAATCCAGGAATAAGTTTTTGCTTTTTTACCAAAATTGTATCCAAGTTGAATGTTGGTTAGTTGTTTTACGAACTGTGTATGTGTGTTTGTGTGTGTGTGTGTACATCCATGTGGAATAAACGAATGTCGAACAAGATTAAACTATCCTGTAGTAGTTCAATAAATAATGGTGATAATAACAACAGACATTGTTTTAAAAAATTGAACCAAGATTCGATGGATCAAATTATGATGAGATGAATCTGTGTGAAAATTATTTTTTTTATTTTTTTAAATTTTCTTCCCAGTTTTGCAATGCGTTCAGACACAACAGCTCTGGTACATAGACACATACACATACGGTATATTCTAATTGTCAATCCAAGTTTAGCTGACACTTGATATAATACTGAATAGATTAGTGTTATACGGATTAGCTTCAATTAGATTAAGCTGCAAATAATAATAATAAATGTCAGAAAACGACTTGTTTACTATAAAGATTATCTTTTTTCGAATATTATCAAGAATGAATTAAATGTTGATGAGAGATCTATTCAAACTTACAGGGTATATGTTTTTCAACTATGCAAATATCACAATGTATTTTCCATGTTTAAAACTTCTTATCACTCATTAATTATGCATGTCATGCTCATAATACACTCACATGATTCGGTTAGAAACATGAACAAACTATTGTGAAATGAAATACTAAAGATTTCAAGCAGTACCAATATCGTAAAGTGGAGTGTATCCCACTTTATTTGCTTTTTAGAGGGATTGGGCCGATTGGGGATTTTGATAAAATTCATATAGTAAATATCATTTATGAGATGAATAAAAGTTTCTAGGCATAGAGCCAATCAAAAAAGTTCGCGAATAAAAATGTAAAGCAGTATCTATGACACTTTGGAAAAATACTTTCCCAAATTTATTTTCAATATTCATCAATTAAATAGAATTTAATTTTACTGGGGTCAATTCTTAATGGAAAAGTCAACACTGAGCAAGACTTAAGCACATCCACCTGATGATTCATAGATAGAATGAAACATACATAATATATTAAATGGAATTTTTTGCACATTTTCTATATTTTTATCAATGTAAGGTTTAGGGGCAGATTGCAGAATTTTCATGGACTTTACATAACTACCTAGTTATACTACCATTGAAAACCTGGAGGCATTGGATGACTGTTTCGTCCTCGTATTATAGGCATCGGCGATGGAAAATCATGACTGTATATCTATAAATCAAACTCAGGACCTTAGACTTCACATGCGAGCGTTTAACCTCTAGACCCTTAGCCCCGAATGCAACAACATTAGTGTCTAACTGCAATCATTTTTTCGCTCTCGGAATTCTTTATTGTAATCAAACATACGAAATTAATCGACGTGATCAATATTGTTAATAGAAATAACTATTTACATAGCCTCAGGAGGGTTCTGTTTTCAACAAATATATATCAGATATTCTATCAGCAAATCTAAACAGTAAATAAATATGAGCTGTGTAAGGTTTAATAAGTTAATAATCAATTATAGTAGGTGGATAATATCCTACAATCCAAATGTTTTAATGACATACCTATAATTACGATAGATTTTTGAATATATCTGGGTGTAGAGTAAATGTTAACTTGTCTATTAGTCATATCTATAGTTTGAAGTAGTTTGTTTTGGTTACTAATAAATTGAAATCTAGTTTTTTTTTCTTATTATCCGGGTACCTTGATGGCTGAATACTAATCTCCTGCACTTAACTAACCTTTCAAATACATATGTATTCAAGAATTTGTTAGTGGTAGTTCATTTACAGATATTTTGTTAGTAGTACTATCACAAATAGAATCATCAAAATTTTTTTCATGTACACATTTTTATTATGGTGATTGTGTTTCAAATATTTGTTAATATAAAGTTACAGTTCCAAAGAGTTACCACATTTACACAAGTTAAGTTATTATCTTTAATCCCCCCTCTCTCTCTCTCCTTACGTTTATTTATTTTTTAGACTGTATTCCCTGCATCACAACCAGAAAGATTGATTGATTTGAAATCTACCGTAGATCTCCTTACAAGCATCACATTTTTCCGTCTCAAAGTAAGTTTGTCAGTTAGTGGGCAAAGTTGTTAGCATTTTTTTCAAAAAAATATAACTGTATTATTGTCAATCCTGTGAGTTACGTTTCAACAGATCTATTCAGAGTAGTAGTAATAATAATAATAGTACTGATGTAGTCTAAAGTTTTTACTTCTTTTGATATGGTATTTTTCGGTAATGAATATCAATATAATAGTTGTCAGTTTATCAGAAATTTGCATCAAACATAATTTCCATTTGAATCACTAACACACACAACACATACAGTAGAGGTTTGAGCCAAGTAACTTGATTTGAAAATCATTTTGTTCAAGGGAGAATGAAATAACTTTGTGAATAGTTTGGTTCGCTAAGTGTTGTGAAGGCAAGTCAGTCAACCATACTTTAATAGCATTTCTGTAATTACAACTTCAACATGTTCGAACAGAAAACATGTAACCAAGTAGAATGTAGTACGAGAGGACCCACCGATATGAGTTTCAACATTCTACAACTTTATAAATGGAAGAACGTTTCATTGAAAGTGATAGAATTTAAGTAGTACAATTCAGAACTGGATATTAAGATATACAAATTTTGTCGGACGTATTGATGAACTGAATGCTCATCTTTAGTAACCAATATCTTCATTGAGTACACTTGTGGGTTAACAGCCATTAATGTTTCAATATATTAAGAATTTTAGAAGACAGCTTCCCCCCCCTAAACAAAATTTCGTGCTTTTGTACAAGCCAGCGCATTACTGATTTCATATTTTAGATTGTCTAATCTGTTTACGTTGAATCCACTCATAATCCGGTTGTCAATGTACATCTCGTAAGTTGTGCTACTCAAAGAATAAATACAGATTGCCTAATTATATAATTAATTCGTTCCTTCTAAATATGTTTATATCTACAATCCGTTTAAATAAACGACATATTTTACCAAGATATTTGGTATATAAATGGACGTTTTAGTTCACACATCCCTATCTCAATGCAACAATCCATTTAGGTTAGTTTAGTGCGTTTACAAAATTTTAAATTATTGGTCTGCTAAATATTACCAGTTACTACAGTTGAAGTCAAATGAATAAGATGGTAGACAAAACAAACCAAACACTATCCACAAAATGAAATGCAGTAATTAAGAGCAGCATCACACAGGGCAAAATGACCATCTTATAAGTCTACATCCAAGTGAACATCGATTGGCATGACATAGCGTCATTTATATCAATGCATGTATATTAATGTGGACATGAGTTCGAATAGAAAAACATCAAAATATTTAACAAAGGAAACATATAGGAAACTAGGGAATGTTTGGAAGCCCGATATTGAATATGCGTCAATCAGTAGACATAGAAATTGACTCAATCTATCAAACGATAAAAAAATGATGAACAACTTCGAAATCAGAGATCAGGCCGAGGTAGAAAATATTCAAAAAGATAATGTGCTTTTGATGTTGTTTAGAATGCTGACAAAATCTTTATGACCGAATCATTTACCTCCGAAAACGCGACACAACTTGAAAATCTTCATCCGGAGCTGCCAATATTCTTCAACTGGACAGATTGTTACAAAAGTTGACTAGATACAATAATTAAACATGGTTTAGTAAGTACTATACTTAGTGTTGGACAATCATTCGATTCAAATCATACCAATAGATTCATTAAAAGTATTGAACCTAACACTAGTACTGCAAGATGAAATTTATTAGGTAACAAATCCAACAAATTTCAGTAGGATTTCAATTCTAAGAGATCCAAGAGTTGTTAGAAAACAAGAAAAAGCAAATTGCCGGTGACATTTTTTTTCACACTTAGACTGATTTCTACCAAATCTTCCTGTTTTTTTTTCTTTATTTAGAATATATTCTTTCAGAATTTTTCTATTTCTCCTTTACACTTTGAAAATAGGTTCAAGAGCTTAGTTCACCTCCAAGAACAGGTCAAATATTACGTGAATGTATTGAAGCTTGTATTCATGCAACCTATCAGTGCCTTTGTGAAAATGTACATGACTTATATGGGAAAAGTTTACAGGTAAACAAATAATTAGTTAATTTATTTAATTAATGAAGTTAATTAATTCGTTAATATTCAATAGCATATAGAAATATGTACTGCACTAAACCGGTGTTAATAAGTTATCTAATAATGGTCATGAAAATTGTGTTGACTTTCAGCAATGGTGGTACTTTTTAGGTATCATTATCAAGGTTTGACATGGTCACTTCAAATAAATTGAGCATTAGTTAGATTGTTCTAAATAAAAAAATGTTTGTAATATCCCAATAAGTAGGAAAATTAGGTTTTTGACGTTCCATTATTCAGTGGAAGCCACTTCTTCAGAGAATCAATAACCAAATCAAGTTTAAATAATACAAAGGAACACAACAAAAATATTAGATGCCGTCAATCAAAAACAGATCTGAACAAGTCAATCGTAGTACTGTAAATAATATTCAGACAGTTTAATTTAAACCAATAGTGCGTTCGATTCTTAAGTGCGTTATTAGCGGTATAGTGAAGTTGTTCAAATAAGTAGAGCAATTTTACGACTGGATTCACTTTATCGTTTTAATAATAGAAACTAATCACTAGGAGACTCTTAAATTGTGTTTAATTCCTCTTAATCATCTTAGTAAAAGTGTACCTCAAGGAAACTATTCGATTACTTCTAAACGTAATCAGTGAAGTGTACATCAATTCTCCCTATGATTAATGCCAACACTCAGGAAACTATGTATATCATACAATCCCTCTTCCTCCCGAAAAACTACAAATGACTAACACACTGAGATGTTTCTGAACACCAACTCTTTATAAAACATTCATTTCAACAAAAGAACCATTTAGTTTAAATGTTTTATTATGATGAAATATATCCAGGTATAATTATAATTAACAATATTTTTTATTAACATACTTCTTGAACAAAATAGCAATGAGAAAACAAAACTATAACTAATAATTATGTGGTCTGGCGATTGTCCTTGTCAATACTGAGTACAATTTGTTTCACTGTAATGATAGTAATAATAACAATAATAATAATATTAATAATAATCATACCTTTTACTACACGATAAAATATTTCTTTTCTTCGTTCTCTATATACTGCTAATTCTCCTTTTTATATGATATGTGGAAGTAAAATAGAGTTTAACTGTTACCATGGCAAATGTTTATTGATTATTTCTTTTTCTTGAGAAAAAGGTTTTAGAAATATCATCTAGTTATTTATCTATCTTTGAGTGAGTCAAATACTAACTTGCAAATAAAACCCGATAGTTATTGATTAACTCTAAAATGACATTAAGTAAGTGGATTGTATCTAGTGATAGGACCCAAAATGCACGTTTCATTCATATTGAGACTCATCAACTGAACGTACATGCACACTAGTATTGATGTTAACATGGGAATTCGAACCCAGTAACCTTGGTTTCAAACATCACTGAACAACTGAATCTAGGCTATCACTAACTTGTTCAACAGTTGTGATGCTTATATGATTATTAGAGACGATTTGAAGAACCTGAAGTTTGTATATGGTAATTTGGCTTTTAAATTAAGCGTTCAAATGGTAATTTTTTACTTGATTAGGGCCGATTACCAGAAATATAAAAATCACTTACACTGATTCATAGTAATCTCTAATAGTTAGCAATTTCATGTTTGTCTTGTCATTAGGTGTGACTCAATCCTACCAAGGACACTAAGTTAACTGGCTACTAGTCCAAATGACATGATATCTCGGTCAAAAATATGTTAGGTTGTCAGAAATCAACTATATGGAGCATCAGATCTACTCCGCTCAAACTGAATTGCATAGTGATGACGTCTCTCACACAGTAACGTTGAGTAACTTTTGTTTGGTTCAAATACACACCATCTGCTTTTCCAAGATTTTTTATGCGTGTTGTGCTGATTTGTATCAGATAACACAATAGTTAGGTATTTTTAATGAGCCTAACTTATGATATAACTGACATTCTCTATTTGATCTCACATCTACCATATAATAAACGAGTTTTACTAGATTTGCTTATAGTCATTAGTCCACAAGATTATATTCTTTTATTCTATATTAAATAAAGGCAACCAATACAGAATCTGGGAATACTGAATTTGCATCTGATAATATGAATAGTGGAGCTGGACAATCGTTAATTGGGGAATCAGATCAAATGGATGGTATGCGATCGCCGACCTATTGGCATCGTCTTATCACATTGGTTGTTTCAGTTCTTGAAGATGATCGAAAACATTATGCACCAGTATTAAATCAGTAAATTTGAAGAGTTAATTTTTTAAAAGGAAAATTAAATTGGGCGCTGATATATTTGAATCATTAATATTCCGCATAAGATAAATTAGCATTTTAAAATGATCTACAGTTTAGATCTATTGTGTTATTTAATAACAGTTTACAAGTTGAATGATTACCGTAGTTTTTGTCCTTTAATTTCGAGTTGAATGACAGTGAGAGAGAGTTATACTCACTGATATAGAATCGAATACATAACCTTTAGATCTTTCAGCTTACACGGTAATCTGTGGAGTTGGAATATATCGGTCTATATTTTTGAATTCAGTCAATGTTATTGGCAAGATACCTTAACACTGCCAACTTAACTGACTCTAAATGTCATGGTTTCTCATTCGAACATTGAAAACTATATACTTAAGATAGCTATATCTGGGTGTATTATGTTAGTTTTCGATAGAGATTTCACAAATCTCTATATAAGTAACTCGGTAACTTTATCAGTATTAACGATGTTTTTGACTTTCGCTTGAAAAAGAAACAGGAAAATGTAAATGTGAGGACAACTTATCGTAGACTATAGAAAAAGTCTTTACTTAAGTGTAGAAATCCTGACACAATAAGGGACTAAAAAAGTATACTCCAAAGAAATGAAGGAATAATATTGTAAAGAAAAATAAAAGAGAAGGATAGTATAATTAATAACGAAATGAACAGAAATAATATTTCATAAGAAATATGGTTCAATTAGGAATACAACTGACAAACACTTCTTTCAGTTAAGGAATCTCTGTTCACTACTATAAAGAGTAGTGCAATATTCTATTTTTTTTGTCATTATCTGAAAATTTTATTGGCGTTATGTCTTCTGGGCTAAATTGTATAATGGATGGAGTAGCTTCTATTGTCACTTAAGACAACATTTTCAGGACTTACTTCATGTATCATGTCACTGTGTTACACCATTTCCAAGTGCTTAAACCCAAGAGTTATGAAGTATATCAGTGAGATCAAACCCAATGAGCAGTGATGAATAATAAGGTCACGGTGATAAATTATTGAAGAAAAGAAAGATAAATAACTCCAGATTCTGGCTAAAAATAAAAGCATGCAGTCGATAGTATATTATAGGGTGTAGTGTTATAAAATGATTTAAAACTAAGTTGAGAGATTAATCTTCAGTGATATATTTGTTTACGGTGAAAAAAGTAATATCTAAGTTCATTTATTTTAATGATATAAGAAATTATGTCATCTCATTTTGTTTTTATTAACTTTATACATTAGATTTCCACATGAAATCAATCTAGGCGATATGTCAGCTGAAATGATATGGAAATGTTTATCGGACGATTTAGCTAATGGATTAGCTCAGCATACAATTACAGCTAAATATTATTTCAATAATACTGAAGAGGATATATTAGATAGTTTATCAAAAGTGAATAAATTACGTGATTCATCTAAATCAACTGGACAAAATAAAGTTGTTTTAAAAAGTGGAATGAATAAAATCAAATCTTCAGATTATATGAATCTTTGTTTTCGAGTGAAATGGTTTTATAATACTTATATAGCAACACTGGCAAGATTCAAAAATTCAATTCCTGATTATCCTCGGTAAGTAAAGACTAAAAATGAAGTTGTTTTTCACATCACGAATTGATCTTAGTTAAGCGACCGTTAGAAACCAGAAAACAGTAGTGTTGTGAAGATTGTTAAGTTTTAATTGGAATCATGAATTGATCAAACCCGGAAGCACTGGACGGCCGTTTAGTTTTAGTATTGAACTTCTCAGTAGTGCGCATCTAGAGTTCGACTGCAACATGCGGGATCGTGGATGCTCCCATACTAGAACAAAACGGCCGTCTATTGCTTCCAGGTTTTCAGTGGTGATCTACAAATTGATAGGTTCATGATCTCATTTAAAGCATAGAATAGTTCGTTAGTCTCAGTCTTCGACTATATAGATGTGTTTATCCATCAACCTAATACAGATCAAGTCCGAGAACATCACTTTTCTCATTGAGCACTTGACTCTCAGACCACTGAGTTAGGATCCAGTAGTTAACAATTCTAACTTCAGTCAATCCACCATATTGGATAACTACCTACAATGATACTGATGAGTGACTACTTCAGATATTAGATATAAACTATAAGATTTAAAGATCCTCACAAATCTCCTATACTTAAAATGAATCATTTAACTTATTAATTTGAAATAAAGTGAAAAGTTGTTTCTATCAAACATACATCGTTTCGAAGGCTAGTGATACTGATCACTCACTCAAAACCGTAGTAAGTAGAATGCGGTTCAGACAGTTGGCTAAATGGTTGCGTATCAAGTGCATTGACCATTACTACAATGTTCAATTCTTGTCTAGGTTTTAGGCGCTCATTATAAACTTGATCGAAGTAATTATTCAATTTATCTTGGGTTTTTTTTTAAAAATAATTTCCAGTATGTAATATGGAATATTTTGATATTGACTGGCATGAACATTGTTACCTTTGACAAATAAAACCGTTGGATGAGTTGAAATTCTGGTTGTAAAGACTCATGATCTATTACTGTATCATAGGAGCATTTTTTTCTTAGACATTAGTTGAACATTAGATTATTTTATATTTTGCTGATTATATATGCTATGTCTTTAATTATTTCTGCACATTGAACAGGTGGACTTAATATCGTTTCATTTATTCTACTATGAAACTCATACGAATATATAACTAGTTTTTTTCAGAATGACCTACTTATTCTTCTAACTCAGAATAAGAACATCTTTATCTGTCGACTTCCTGAATTTTGTGACATTACACAATTGTATTTAGTACAATTGAAACTAGGATATACATTTAATGTCGAATTAAGTCGTTCTGTCATGTCGTACGTTGGTGGTTTATCTGTACAGAAAATTATTCAGTATTGGTTAATTACAAACTAATGATTGAATGAAATGGCAGTAACGTAATAATGATAACAAAGGAGTTAATAATTCATAAAATCCAGATTATTTTCTTGTATTATTAAGATCCATCAATCGAATGTTTTTAAGTCTTCCGTAAACTTGAACCCATTATCTATTACACTAATCAACACTGAGTTTCATGTTTTCCTATGAATATTGATCGTACTAATATTGTACCAAATAGTGGTTACACCTGTTTCTTTAAACTATGCTTGACCAAATCTGTCGGAAGTTTAAGAAATCTGTCTAATAAAATCTAGATGACCAAGTAACAGTTAAATTGTTTTTGATTAGTTTGACTAATTAAACATTTAGGGAATCCTTAAGTACAAGTTTTTTGCTTGAAGCTTTCATAATCTTTGGATTATTGGTTCTGACTTGATCTTTTTGACTGATCTAATTCCTGAAGCTAAATTTCCATCGCTTTTCCACCTTCCGACTTCTTTCAACGTTTAAGGATCGTTAAACTGGTTAGAAGTTCGATAATGCAAAATGTTTAACGTGACAAACTTAACAGTATAAAAATGAAATGCAATTTCATGTACTAAACGTTATTTGGAGAATAAATACTTTTCAACTGTTCATAGTGTTTTAGCGTTTGATCCTTTATTTTTTTTGAAATCCTTGAAGATCTTTAAAACGTAACTATGTTCTGAAAGTGGAATTAAAGTGCTATGTTTGTTCCTATAGCTGGTACCTAGCGTGATCACTGGTTTCTAGTTTGCACAATAAGACTAGACAATATTTACTTAAACTATATCTGCATAACTACAGAGTTTATTACAGTTTTTGGTGTTCGGTTAATTTAGTTTTCATTCTGTAACTTTTCATTCTTTTCATAACCTGCAGTTGGTTTGAAGGTCTCGTATTGATTTGGCTAGCTGAGAATGATGAAGTGTCTGCAAATTATTTAAGAAATGCTTATGATCGTGACAAACAAGATGGTTTTCAATGTTCTAGTGAACATGTACTCTATTCAAATTCTGTTGTTGATGTATTCACTCAACTGAATCAATGTTTTGATGTTATACGTAAACTTGAATGTCCAGATAAACAAGTTGAAGGACAATTTTTCCATAGATTCTCACTGGTAAGTAAATTCCTTAACTATTGGATCTACATGAGTGATTAAATAACTGCGTGTAATTTTCAAACAAATTTACGGAAAAAAAATTTTTTTTCAACAGCTAACTTCATCAAATGAGCTAGTTACTAAACTAATTCTAAACCGGTTAACCTTATTTTAAAGCCAAGCACACGATTTATATCGTTTAAACGTATACAACTTATTTCATCACAATAGACAGGGTAAGTTTTATACAAAGAAATTCTTCTCTTATATAACCGTCAATCATGACAATTTATACAAAATTACAATTTCACATCCAGTTTTCAATAGGCTACATCTGAGTTATCATGGCGCGGATATGAAGAAGTGAAAGAAATGAGTCACTAGTCAATCAGTTAATCACTATATATTATCTGGTCAACAGAGGGAAATTAATACATGTAAATTGAACAGAATACCTCTCTCCATATGTGTATTTCTGTATAATCATTTAGTGATAACGATGAATAAACGTAAAGTTAGTTTTAAGCAAATAAATACACTGAAAATTGAATGGATTATTTGTATGGAAACTAATTAACAATTATGATAATGATTTAGGTGAACTAATTAAAGAAAGTTTGGATTCTGATCTGAACACCATTAAGATTTACATAAGTCATTAATCTTATACAATTATTCACTCAAAATTTTTAGTTGATTGGTTAAGTTAATTAAATAGTTGAGTTCGATCTTTCAACAGAATGTTCATCATGCAAACCAACATAAACTTGAAAATAGTTGAAGTTCAAAAGTTACAAGACAACTAGTTTTATCTTCAAATTATTAATCACTGACTACTGACTAGTATCCTATTTCTCTAGTGCTTCCTATCAAGTTGCAATGAGGTTATTAGTCTAAGTGACTCGATATCGTGTCAACTATGTTAAGATGTTAGATGAATAAAGTTGATTGTTAAGAAATCATGCCTGACTTTGGTGTCACCAGTGTGTGCCAGTAATCTTGAATAAAATCATGCTCCTCGAGTCAACTTAAATTTCTGTCCCCCAGTCTTGTATTTTGTGACGTTACCACTGAACTATTCAGATTACAAGTGACTACTGTCAGGATTGAAATATGTAAGATCTCCTGATCGTGAAGTATTGGTTAATGTCATGATGGTCCAGTCCTTTAGTGCTTATCTATTGCTACCGCCTAAGTTTCAATGCCGCTTGAAGTCTGAATGTCGCGATATCGCTTGCCACATGCTCTCTAGTGCATTCGGGCAATGCGCTCTGTTAACGGATATTTATAATAATAGGAAAGCTAGGTCCATCTTCGAGGTCCTTTCAACTACATCAAATCACCTTACAACTGTTTTATCTTACTTTTTCTATGATTCATTAGAACTACAAACTAATGATTTTGTTGCTCATATCACCGATACAGAGATTTCAATTATTCAAAACGCTTCACACCTAATATTATCACATAATTCAGCTATATAGTCGGAATGTACATTGGTTAATATGCCTAATTATAACCAGTTTTTGATTAAGCTTTGTATGTTTTATTGTTTTTACCACATTCAACCAAGAGAACACTTAATCTAGAGGAATTAAAACAACAACCATAAACACTTCTTCATTCGACATAATTGTTTTTATGTATTTAATCACAAATATAAATAAAATGAATTGATTGATACGTTTCTATGGTTTGTGATTGAATAGAGAATGAAATGACAACATAATTCATTGTAGAATAAAGTGATTTATTAAAAATTAACTAATTGATAAGTTCCGTAGTCAGATTAGTGAATCGCTTAGTGAAAATTTCTATTCATGTAGAGTTATTGAAGAAAACGAAGACGAAGAAATGAATTAAGTTTGGGTATGCGAAGATAAAGTGAGAGCAAGAGAGAGTGTGTGTGTATATATATGGTTAGTTCAACGATAGTGATTATGAAAATGATAAAAGGAAAATAGGAAATAACGATAAGGATTTATAGTTCTGGCGGATACTTTTATTTGCCGTTTTATATTCTTTGAAATTAAAAAAAGGTCTAATGGTGAAGCCATCATTGTCATTCTAAACAATAATACAGTCAATAATGAATGCTGAGGTTATGGATTGGGTATTTGAAAAAGATGGTAAATTATCTGATATGTTTGCTGACCCTCATCAACCAAGGTACTTAGTTGGGTATGTGGTGCATGCTTGATCACTGCTTATTATCAATGCCCAATTTCGGCTCACAAAGAATTATTCTGGAAGAAAATAAAGAAACTTCAAACCAAAACGTAGAATCCGTCCATGGAGTCATTAACTGTTAGTCTAAGTCGTGATGGTAGATTTCGACTACCTGGATGAGTCTATTGCGATAACTACAATTAATGAGTGGAAACGTTATGTGACACTCCTTAGAGTCCATCACAATGTTCTAAACGCACTCTCTCATTATGCTACCCTAGATATTGATTTTCATTATTCGTTCATACAGATTGGATCGTTTCATTCTTATTTTTGAAATATATTCTCGATGTTTAGTCCTTCTCATTACCGTTAATACTGCATTATTTTGATTCATTTACTATTCATCTAGTAAATTAAATCTCGTCATGCTAATGTGGTATTGTAATTAAAGGTAGTTCAAATGTGTACCATATTCTATGTTAGTTATCACTGACTTATATCAACAAGATTTCATCCATCCGATGTCATTTCATTTGTTTCTATTTTTTATCATTCTACGTCTATATTATTTTAAAATTGTTAGACTGTTGAAAAAGTTCTCCTTGCTTATGCTGATCGTGTGTTAGCTGATTTCTCAACATACAAAACGGATCAACGTGTAGCTTGTATATTAGTGAATAATACACAACAACTTCGTGTTCAACTAGAAAAAGTTTATGAAAATATGGCACGTGAAAGGTTAGTTTTTCATTTTTCCTATTTAATTAACTTTCTGATGACAACTGTATAATTGAGACCATGAACTAGTCAAAATTAGACCACTATTAAAAACCTGAAATCACTGGATACCCGCTTCGTCCCAGTATAAGATAGTTCAGCAGTGAGCATCTAAGGTCCCTCATATAGTAATCAGAACAAGAATCTGAGGTCTTGCACTCGAACGTTTAACTTCTAGGCCATTAGAATCGAAGGTCCTGCGTTCAAGTCCCAGGTGCGGTATCGTGGTGCGCACTGCCAAGGATTTCCGTACTAGGATGAAACGACGGTCTAGTGCTTTTATGTTTTCAATGGTGGTCTAAAATTAATCGACTCAATCAAAACTCAACCATCTCCACAACCATATACTGACAACTGTACAAAAAAGAATTTTTTGCCTAGTGATTAATATCATTGTCTATTTATCAAATATAAATTAGTTAAAAGATAATGATTTTCTACATTTGAAAAAAGGATTATAAATTGAGAAAAGAGAAAATAAACCTGGATAATCTGACAAAATGTAGATAAATCAATTCATATTTTTATTACTGGGCCGGTTTTTTATTTGAAAGAAAAATATTTTATCTTTTTTTTATTTCAAGGGAAATTAAATTAAATGGAACAGAGAATTAATAAGCACTTCAATTTATAGTGGTCAGTTTCAATAGTTGAAATCATGGGTTATACGCATCAATGATCCCACTTCCCGCGAGATTCGAACAAAGAACCTATCAGTCTCATGCATGAGCGCATAACCATTAGACCACTGAGCTGGCATTCAACTGTGTTAATGTCTAACTTCAACTAAGTTTCAATTGATTCATGATTTCAACTATTGAAATTACTAAAATCTCCATAAAATCCCTTCTGATCAGTCAGTTTGTTGGTAGCTGGTTTAAAATTACACCAAATCATCATGAACATTAATTTCAGGATTAATTATTTTGAAATGAAATTCTTATTACCAACCTGTGTTGATAGTATAACTATAGAGAAATGAAGGAGATCATAAGAAAGCTTATTCTTTAAAATTTGAAACTTATTTAAAATGAGTAGCTCATAATCAGCATTTATGAAATAGAACCTACTTATTTAGGTTTCAGTTAAACTGATAGTTTATGCTGATACACTCAATATGACAGTAATATTTAATGGATGTTGGTATTAGTTGGAGTATCATCAAAAAAGAAAACATAATAGACTAAATACCTGTTTTCGTGATATTAATTTTTTCAACTATTTGTCTAGATCTACCTTTCTATGATGTTAAGTGGCTGGAGACAGTTAACAAGAAATCTTGGATTTAGGTCTCATGCCATTTGGCACTCGTCAGCAAAGCCTACTTATGATATTGGTAGTACTCATGCCTATTGATAGAGTTTAACTTGTGTCTGTCCATCAGAAAGAACTTTTTTAGATCTTGTAATCATTCTTCGTGAAGTCGTGCCTTAATATGACACTTTTAAAAGTAAATTAATTGACATTAGGAGTTTTGGCTACATTAAATACTATAAACGATATCGTTATGTAATTTAACTTCATCAGTAATACGGTAGCTTAAGTGACTGATAGATTGAGTGTAAGATCACATTGATTATGAATAATTAATCACATTGTGTTTATTTCCAACTTCATCATTTATAATTTCAGCATATTTAAAAGGTTACGGAATGATGAAAATAATGCTTTTCTAACTGTTGATTCTGTTGCAATGACAGTATTATCATACTACAAATACTACTGACAAAGACCAGAAGTAAACTTTATAATCTCACGCAATTTACGTTGTTTGTTTTTTAATTTTCAGTCTTGAATCCAACACTCGAGATCGTTTAAGTGCTCTTCAAGGTCGGTTAAATGAAGTAGTTGATAAATTAGCCATCCAACTGACTGATCAGTTTGAAGCTGGGGTTCGTTCACATGCACGTGAATGTGGAAAACTTTTACAGAAGGTTAGTTGAGATAGTAGCATTTCGCTTGATACAAATTACTCATTGTTCCGTGACACCGTCCATCTGAAGTGGGTGGTGTCTTAATGAAACCTTGGTCTTAAGCTTTGCGTTAGTTGGCAATGGTCAACATAGTATTCCCGGGAAGTGGTGTTTCCTGATGCATTTGAACCCACGTCCTGAAGTCCTACATAGTGAAATGTTACCCTTGAACTGTTCGAGCAGCCATTCACTTAGTTCACGACAATTGATTGATCATTAAGTAGTGATCGATGTTATGTTTGTCCACTCCTTCGATCAACATCAGAGAGCTAGACAATTATGACACCAGTCACTACACAGCGGTTAATTGATTGTACATGCATATATACATATATGAATCTCACTGAAACTGAGTTCTTACTATTTTGATTACTATTTGTGTAATCGAAGTTTAATGTTCCATTTAACATGTCCTTCTAAGCGTTGTTTACTATCAAGAGCTTGTTTAATGACTAGTCTAGTTGAAGATTTCGAGGGTGGCTTTTTTTCACAAATTTCTATGGTAATAATTTTAATAGATATAAAATGGATTTAGTTGATTCATTACAAAAAGGTTTGTATTTCGATCTATCCATTTGATGTTAGGAAACTGAAAATTTATGTTGATTAAAGGTTTAGATCAGACTTCAAAAGATTGTTTAGATTATGAAGTATATCTAGGGATAAGAGAAAAATTACTCTGGTACAAAGTTGAAACAAATATGAAGTTAAAAAAAAGCGAGAAAAAGAGTGAAAGAGAAAAAGAAAAGAACATATTTTTGGATGATCACAAAAATTATGCTAAACTTGGCAATATACTATTCGGGCTCAACGAACACAAACCCCATATTGCATTTTCTCTGGTTAAGAAAAGAAGAAGTTCAAAATAAGGCCAGGAGTGAACTAGTTATAGGCAAGACGATATTACCACATGAAATTAATGATTAGTGTCTTTAATTCTTTTGTAAAATACAGATCTCCTGAATTAAAACGCTCGTTAACATAACTTAAAATAATTGCTCTGTATTTTCCTTAAAAAGTTTGAGCTAAGTACTGTCATTTACTTTTTAATCTAATGTTATTCATGTTTTCTTTTGAGATAATCTTTGTTATTGATTTCTCATTACTTGGTACATTACTACCATTACTTCTCCTCTTCTATCTTAGTCAAATTTCCTTCACTGTAATTGATTTGAAGTGCAATACCTTAGGTTGGCAAGAATTTGTGTTGAATTCTATGTTGTTCATTAACCCCTACGCTTCAACGAGTGTGTTGTTTAAAAAATTGCCTGTTTATTTCGTTATTTTATCCATACTACTTAAAATGAATAATCAATAGCTCAGTTTTATATCTAATTAAACTGATTCAATCGATCATTTTCCAGTTCATCAATTGGCGTAAGCCTATAATGAATAACTGATGTAAACTGTTACTATACAATGTTGATAATCTCTAAAAATGAACAAAAAATGTTATTGTTTAATGGTAGCTTTAGGGACGGCATTTAATAGCTCTTTAAAATACATCGAGAAACTACGTTTTATTTTTAGTCAATCAGAATGGAAAGGATAAAAAGGGATACTTTATTGATTGAAAACCCAAGATATAGTTAGGATAGGATTTGAAGTTAGGGTTCGGATTTGGGACTTAGATTTAAGACTAACGTTATAAAGTACTTTGTAACCATACGTTTGCATCCAAGGAATTACTTTTGATGAAGAATAAAAGTATTTTAGTAGAAAAGCTAGAAAATTGTCCATACTTTTACATTCTCATTTACTTAGGCAGTTAATTCTTTATTCCTGAATTTTGTCAAGCTTTTAGTTGCTTGGGGTTATTCAGAAATCTCAATTCGTGTTTCTTCATGTTCTCGTGTTTATCACTTTTAAATGTGTCAATAAGTTATGTTTTGGTATACATTTATAAGTGCAAAAATGAATGTCAGATCAGTGATATGCCTTTTTCTCAATTATTATATCACTATTGAAATTACTAAGATCTCCACAAAACCCCTCCTGATATTAATCAACATATGCTCACTAGTGACTGGCTTCAAAAGGTATATCCTGGAGTTCTATTAAGAAGCTGTAACTAGTGAAGTTCAACCAGGTCTATTGTGAGATAATGGTGGATGTGTCGCTCAATTTCATGGATTAGTCGAATTTAGACATTAACAACACTGGATGCTGGCTCAGTGGTCTAATGGTTAGGCTCACACGAGCGAGACCAGTAGGTTCTGGGTTGGAATCTCGCAAGGTGGGGTCGTGGTTGTGCACTGCTGAGGAATCCCAAAATAGGACAAAACGGCTGTCCAGTGCTTCCGGGTTTTCCATTGTGGTCTAGCTTCAATTGACTCATGACCTCAACTATTGATATTATATCACTACTAATACTCATTAAGATATACTATTTTATTTCCATTTTTATGTAATTCATTGATGTGCCAGGTGAAGATAACCAAGTAATTGGTCAATAATCTATTGCATACATATTCAACTACATTGAATATAAAAGACTGTTTCATGTATGAAACTCTTTTACTTTTTTTTCTATTCTGACTCCATTTGTTCACTATTCATTCTCAATTATATCCGACCGTTGATCGTTGATCAGATAACTGAATCGAGTGTATCATTTAATCAAGTATTTTGATGTAATTTTTTTGTTATTGATCTACTGTTCAGTTTCATGTTTGGTCCTACTGATACATTTATCTATAATCAAGTGATCTGGTATTGACTTGGATTGGGAACCACAACTTTGCCTACTTTTGTTATAACATATATAACTATTGAAATGTTTTTAACTGCATTTAGTTTTGAGTCTGTATAGCAATAACAATAATAATAATAATGATAATACTCTTTTCCTAATAGTGTAGACCATCGAATGGTTCAGATAATACAACTGGTCGTGGTGTCAGTAAAGAGGATGAAGCAAATGAATGCTTACAACCGCTAATGGATCATTTTGAAAGTATTCTATCTATACTAGCAAATGTTTGTGATAAAACTGTATTAAAAAGAATATTAAAGGTATGTATTGTGATTTACAAAAATTATTAAAAGTTATAAAATTCTCAGAAAATTTTTTTAGAATCTGAGGAAATGCTTGAAAAAAAGTTTTTATCCGACTAAAGTTTAATGGAAGTTTTCTAGTGAGTACCAGAAAATCGATGGATTATTACTGAATTATTACTATAGAAAACTTTTAAAATATTAAAATTATGTATAAACCCATAAATATCCTTGTTTTCCTTATGATGTGAATCTTCTTTTCATACTTTTAACCGTTTATCTTCTATTCAAGACTGAATTGTAGAAGATTACTAAGAAGTAAGGGAGAGATTAGTGTTAAGATGTGCAGAAAAATATACCAATAGTTATCATGTTAAGTCTAATGTTGTCATTGGACGCTAAATGTACATTCCCTATTGGTCGATATTTACTTCACTTGTTTAATATTGTGTAAATGTTGTTTTCTATTTTTATGGTATGATGTGGTCTGCTTGGTTAGTAAATAAACAGAGTGTGTTTGAAATATAATGATTCATATCTCAGAGGCTGTGACTTTCGTTCTGGACTCAACTGGCTGGAATAGACAGGGAAGCAGGGCCAATCAGGTCACTAGGTCGTTCGTACGTGTTTACGTGTCACAGAGGCGATCGATATAAACGCTGCTTATTAAAACCTGCAGTCACCCGTTACAACAGTTAGAAGTTATTGTCAAACATTCATGTACAAATTATATATCAAATATGAATAATGAATATCAGTGATAAGTGTGTTGCACTATATATTGAGGATATAAATTTGTTTTAAACGAGATTGTTAACAAATATCCTATTTTAAAGAGTGCAAGAGCAAAGATTGATGCAGAAACTAATGCCTTTGATGAATTAGTCAACTATCTAAGTATCGTATGTCGCATAAAATTTATCAACTTTATTCAAGGTTTGCTAAGCAAAATATACAAGAATTTCCACGTATCCTTTTCAAAGGAACAATTATGCTTTGGTTTCCCGGGAAAACCCCTGAAATTCTCCCTATAATCTATCAACAGTGAAGTCAAATTAGATAAAATTAGAAATTAGAAAAAAAGTAACAAAAACTTAACTGATTCCACTGAGAAAAGAATCACGAAAGTACTCAGAGATCTCTTCAAAAAGATGATGATCGATAATTCTACTTACAATAACCTACGACCATGTGAGTCTAGTGTGCCCCACATGTACTGTACCAGTCTTTGTTCTTGCTCTCTTTAAGATAATCAAGGGAATTGTGTGTATGAAATATCCTATTGTTAAACTCTAATTACACTGAACAAAGTTTTTTTTGTTTATTCTTAAGTAAATTGTATTGCTTTTTATAAGTAGGATTTACGTAATTTTCGCCCATTTTTCCTACGTTATTCATTCGTTTTCCCCAAATAAGTACACATATAAGTGTACACTTCTTAGACTGATTTTTTTGACAATGTAAAGCTTCTGTATACGTACACGTTATACATTAGAATAGTTGTCAACGTTCTTGTTTAATTATTTGTGTTTATATTTTCAAATATTAATTGTTCTAGCAATTATGGCGAATAACAATGTGTAATTTAGAAAAACTTGTTGTACTACCCGCAGTTACTGATCAAAAACAGGTAATTAGTTTCTTATCTCTTTATATTTTAATTTATGTGTACGTTTTATGTTGATCGAATGTTATATAAATCTATATTGATTTACTCCTAGAATTTTCAGAAGAGAAACGATCATTTATTAGTTTGCTTGATCCATAAGTTCTGAGCAACATTATTTTTTGATGGTATTCAAGAAATAATTGATAATGTTATGTTGACATTCATCGTCTTTGAACAAATTTCTTGATAAAATATTCAGTTACAAGTGAAGTGAGTTCCAAATAAGTGTTAGCGATAAAATGAAGAATGGACTTTTGTTCTGCACGGGACTTGCAGTGTAAATGTACTTGGATCTCAATGTTCGTTTGCAAGTTGTTAAGATTTCAATCCAGTGCCCATTGCATCAAACTTGACTCAATAGATTGGTAGGTAACACTTTAGCATTTGGATGAATGATTACTGGGTCCGAATCTAAGTGTAAACACTAAAGGTGAAATATGAACAAATCTAGTTATCACGTCATAAACAGGACGAAACGCGAGCCTTTAATTACAGTTAGTCACTATCCGGAATATGCCATGTTTGAATTTTTATAGAATTGTTGTGTTCATAACATTAAATCATTTTCAGTAACCAGTAAGAAGTGAATAATGGTTAATGCTACTAGACGTTAAATTAAACTGGATGTCAATTACCTATGACTGTTTTTTCCTAAAAAAACATGTCGTTTTTTGTTCTGAACGCAAAATCAGTCTTTCGAACATGTCGGTGAGTTAAGAAGTTATTTCTTTTTGGAAACTAGGTCTTTTAGAAGTGAATTTAAGCAAATACAATCAAGGATAGGTAAACATCATAAAGTTGTGAAGTTGCTAGCTGTGAAATCCAGAACACACTTCATGATATTTATGACCTATCAGCTAGATGTACCTGTACGCAAGTGTTCGTGTTCACCTCAATACTTGGGTTTTTTTTGCTTCAACTGCCGAACTTGCTACCCTTTAAAACTACCGTGTTCAAATCGTCACTAACTTACGCAACTCGTATAAACTTTGTCTTGAATGTCATAGACTTTTAGCGTATACCTTTTTTAAACAAAATAAATATTGGATTACTATATTTGGCTTCATAGTAAACCCAGATTGACATAGGTCTTTCATATTTTTCTGTTCATTCAAGACCTCAAAGATAAAATTTATATTAACATAGTCAAACGTTTGCTCATAGAAAAATAGAGACATGTTCTAATTAGTCTTTAAATATCAACTAATATCTTAATATCAGAAAGAGTTTTTTCGTGGACATTATAGTGATTTCAATGGTTGAGATAATTAGGAGTCCCACAATAGGACGAAACGGCTGTTCAGTGCTTTCAGGTTTTTCATGGTGGTCTAGATTCAATTGACTCTTGATCTCAACCATTGAAATTATTATTTTAATGTTTAGATTATAATGCTAACAGAATTCTATGAGGAAAGTTTACATTGCTACCGCCATTACAGGTGAATCCATATTTAAATGAATTAAAATTTCATTTTAGTTGTGTAAAAACGTTATGAAGCCTAGTACCCTTGTTTCATGTTACCCTAAGCATTTCAAATTTAATTCATAAAGTTCGGTTAGATTCAAGGAATGATGGTAATGGTTAGTTAGTAACCGATATTTATTCTTCAACTTCCAAGGGGGATCTGTTCAGTTTTATAAAATGTAATCTTTTTTTCTATGGTTAAATATAATCACCACAAATCAATAGGTGAGTTCGATAACGGAAAGAGATTAACTGAATTTATATCTCTAATTTTCATCACTGAGTGAAATCCATAGAACAAGTTAACTGATTATAAGTTCATACCATCAAGAAACATCTTCAAGTTTGTAATCGGGACACCGAATGAAGTGTACGCAAATCATTTATTTAGACAAGTATGTATAGGCCGCGAATTTTACAAGCGTATAATCGAATTTATCTATTAGTGTGTCTTCTTCATTATCTCTCGCCTGTAACTTATCTTTATGATAGCACGTGAACAAAGGTATATTATTTGTCTGGAACAGCACAGTCTATCAGTTTGCTGTTAACATTTAACTAATATGAAATACAATTGTGTTCTTCTTCCCTTTAGCTGGCTACGGGATTGCTTTTAAGCTCAAATACATCAGCGAAATTAATTGGTGGGGCACAAAGCCTATTAAGTCATGTTGGTAGTCAAGTTGTACAGGGGAAAATTTTATCTGTAAGTTGAATAACTTTGTTTTTGTGAAATCCTAGTCTTCTATTATTCCCTTAAATTTTGAACAACATAGTTTATCATTAGTTTAAAGAAAGAACTCTTGTTCAGTGCTATTAGCATTAGGTTATTTAGTAGAGATCAAAATATCAAGGTATTTGATCTAGAAACAATGTTGGAGGGTTTAAAATGTTTCTTCTGTAATTAAATTATCTCTTGTACCCGAAAAGATCAACAAAGCTAAGTTGAATTGAATCATAACCACTGAACTGTGTCCAATCAGATAGAGAGCCCAAACAAAACTATCTGTTGTTGAAAAAAACTCTGAAAATTTAATCTATGCATGAAGTAGGAGAAGAATGGTTGTCTGTTGTATTTTGATTTCCACCTGGACTAACAACATTCAAACCATGAATTCTACGCAAAATTGTATTTCAAAATATGTGATAGTTTGCAGATAAAATTCATCTTTCCTTAAAACTATTGATCATAACACTGTAAAGATTAGTTGAGTTCCATGTATTTGATCTTATACTATTTCTTGTGTGTTATTATTATTTAGACTCCAAAATCTACTTAATTTATTGCATAACATTACCAGTTTTGAATAAACTGTAGATGAAATTTCTCTGAAATAAAATTAAGTAACAAATTTATTATAGTGTACTTACAGGTTCCATTCAAGGAATTAGGGCCAACGAAGGATAAGTGTTAACTAATTGTGATTTCTGAATGGTTGAAAGATGATGTAACAGTAAAATGAAGGTTTATTGAAAAACTAGAATAAGGATAAATGATGAATCTATAATTTATGAACAACCTTTGAGTGACGCTAAAGTAACCTTGAGAGTATCCATTGACTAACTAGCACGAAATAAGGGTTATAAACCAGTTCGAGGAATTAGGATTATGATTTAAAGCTGACGGTTATTGTTTGAAATTAGATTTAGGATTTTCATAACAAACTGACAAACTAAAATGCCGAAATAAATGAATGAATTTTGTGCCAAGATCCATGACCTATTACCCTAAATCTGATTATATATATATATATATATATATATATATATATATATTACTTATCGGTCATGCTTCCTGCCTAACCCAGCCAGTTAAGTCCAGAACACCAATCTCAGCCTCTGTGATATAAATCATTTATTTCAAATCTACTAGGTTTATATACCAACCAGACAGACCACATCGTACCATAAAATAGGAAATAACATTTGTACAAGATTTAGCCAAATGTGGCTGTGAGTATGGGAGGTAGTGATTAATAGACAGGGCATAATTCAAGAATGGTAAATCGTAGAATAATAGTTCATAAATCAAAATAAAGCTCCTAATAAGAGAGACATGAATATGTATAGTTTAGTTACTTAACAATTATACGATAAAATTATACGCATAGTATTGGTCCATAAATCGATCCCAAAGTTACCATTCATTATGCTTATCGGGCCATAACAGGTACTAACACAGATGATTATTTATCAGTATGTGTTTTTTTTCTATAGATGCATGATTATGTATCTCTTTTCTTATAAATGAACTCTATGTAAATTTATTCAACAACATTGTTGATATCCTTATTGTATACCAATAGTTATCATGTTAAGTCTAATGTTGTCATTGGACGCTAAATGTACATTCCCTATTGGTCGATATTTGCTTCTCTTGTTTAATATTGTGTAAATGTTGTTTTCTATTTTTATGGTACGATGTGGTCTGCTTGATTAATATATAAACACAGTGTGTTTGAAATATAATGATTAATATCTCAGAGGCTGTGACTTGCGTTTTGGACTCAACTGGCTGGATAGACAGCGAAACAGGGCCAATCGGGACTCTAGGTCGTTCATTACGTGTTTACGTGTCACTAAATCGATCGATAAGTACGCTGCGCATCTAAACCTGCAGTCACCCTTTACAACACCTATTAATCCAAATACTGTTAGATTTAATGATTAACTTCATCCATACGTTCACTCTCATAATTCACCTATTCATTTGCTTGTATGAAATAACATTGTTGAGTGAAATATTTTATTTAATCTTTATTGAATAAAAGTGTTTTCGAAACTTCTAGAAGGGTGACAGATCATATGTCATGTTTTTGATTGAATAATTATCTTCCTCTGCTATATTTAGTATACTCCTAGAACTTTCTAGACGACTAAGTTCACCTTAAAAGGTATAAGTACTCACAGTGTACCTTAACACTGAAGTAAAACTTCTTTTGGGACTTTTGACCTTTTCTCTTGTGTTCAGGTTGTTTATATTTAGTCTGACTACAAAATTCACATGAACAAAAGTGTGTTTGAGGTGGTGGTATTGAAGGATTTTGTTCGTTATAATTCAACCATGTGATCTATTGAAATCATGAACCGATCAATGTAAGATCACCTTTGACAATCTGGAATCATTGGACTCCCGCTTCATCCTAGTATTAGACTCCTCAACACTAATCATCCAAGATACCTCACGTAACAATCGGACCCAAGTTTTTCGGTCTTATACGCGGAGGCTTAGCCTCCAGACATGATCTACCATGACTTATAGATTTTAGATAGTTCAGCTCTCATAAATTTTGAATAGGTGAAAGCAGTTGATATGTAACTTAAATTTATATTGTATTGTAGGAAACAACACGTGAACCAGAAAAAGGCCTTACACCATATCAATGTGAATTACTTGGTATTTGCTTGAATACAATTCGTGTATATTTTCATGCTGGTGGACGTGGTGTGAAACGTTCGTTTCTTGATAGAAGTCCAGAACTACATAGTTTACGACAAGTATTAGCTCTATATTCTCAGGCTACAGATGAATTACTTCGAGATTTTATAGCTACACAAACTTCACAAGGTAATGACTTGTTTCATACAGACAAAATATTTTTTTACTTATGATCAGTGAATAATTATTTTAAACTGAATTGTTCATTGAACTATGGCTACATTAATTGTATACTTTAGTTCAGAGTTTGAAATTATATAATTTCAATGAATATCTACCAAATTGACTTGAATGACCAACTATCTAATTCATACTAAGGTGATTGGTGAGACTCACCAAGTCTTCACATTTCTTGCAGATCTCACTTACATTTAGCTGATGAATGCCAATTAATACGACAACCACTTCCAAGGTTTGTTGCTTACGAACTCAAAGTTCCTAACATTAAAATAATTATTATGTACAATTATTTTCGGGATTAAACATTTCAGTAATTAAAAAGTGGATTCATCTGTTAACTCATCTGAAATGTTTCTTGATCAACTTTCAATCATATAGTCATGTTGTCAACTGAACAAGAGAAACAAGTCTACTTTTAAAGGCATCAAATTTTCTGGTTCAAACATTTCTTTAGATTTCAAACCAGTGATTAAAATATCTGTTAAACTGGAAAAGCACTCATTTTTTTCTGAATTGTACTTGTAAGAACTTCTTGAAGTTTTCAATGAGAATCGACAACAAATGGAATTAAGCCATATTGAGGGTGAGGAGAACACCTATAGATAGCATTGAATAATGATTGCTCATTTTCATAGATTAACTTAGGTTGTAAATTGTAAATTACTTGAGTTGCAACTTAGTAGTTTATAGGCAACAAGTACGTTTCAAGTACTGACAAGTTATAGAAGGACCTTTCAACTTGAGGGTATATTAGATACTTTCGATTTATTCAACCTTTTGTATAAACTATTTTCAGGTTGAACAAGCTCCATAAATCACACATCTCAATAAGTTAAATTTATTATTACATTTCGAAATATATATATAAATAAAAGAAACAGGAACGATTTTGATCCCATTTTTTGTTGTATTTTCTAAATTATTATTATTCACTAAAGATTATCTGGCCAATGAGGAACCAGTTGGCTACTTAACACTTCAAGTAGAAATTTTCAAGCACCCTGGAACCGGTGAATACAAAGTAAATGTGAAAAGTAAGTCAAGTCTCATTATCACTGTATTTCTCATTCTGTCGATGGGTGGTAATGTAGTGAACGAAAAATAAAGTAGGGAAAACCAACTTATAAATTAATGTGAAATTATAAAGTGTCTTACTAAAATATGAAAACTATACATTAAATACTTCATTTGAACATCTTCCATCAGTTGTCTCCTAAAAAATTTCATCCTCCATTTGTTCTTGGTTCTATTACAATTACTCATAGTATATATTTCTGATCTCTTCAATTTGATCTTTTCAATCTTCTACTGGCATGCATTCCGCTTCTGATTGTTGCTACATACTACTTATGTCAACATAAGTAGCGTATAGAGTGGCTGGTGAATTGAACGTGTTATCAGTCACTGCTGTTCTGTGCCAATTAAAATGAAGCAGACAAATTTATTAGTATATCACTTTGGATAATATGAGATTTATTTGACTGTAAACAATTGTTTTGGATATAATGGTGACACAAGTTTCTTCACAATTCTATTTCTAATCATATTAGCAAACATCAGACTAGTATGCATAACAGTTGATTATTTGTATTGATTTTGTTAACGAAAAACTAAAATCCTTTACAAAAAATATCTGGAAAAGGGAACTAATTATGTGAAGGAAACAATCATTATTGATCAAAACAAGTAACTGAGTGAAATGTAATCAGAATTAGAAAATGATTAATGTTTGAGGTGCATAGAAACATAATTAAAGATTCATTTGGATAGAACTTACTCAATTAAATATGATTAACTTATGATTGTATAACATGAAGCTCAAAAGATCAAAAATGAAAAATTGGAAAACGTTTTTAATCATACTTGTACTTGTCTTGACAAATATTACTAGCTTTTAATTCATTTTTTCATGTTTTTTTCAGATATTTATGGTTTCCTACTAACATTTACTATTCTAACCCTGATCAGTATCTGTAAATATATTCGTTGTTCGGTTAGTGTTAAGTAGACTATACGAACTAAATTTTCCAAAAATTTAATAAGGATATATGACGAGAGATAATTTCAAAGAAATTCCATCACAAAATATCATCAATCACAAAGTTTATTGTTAACAAATCTGTAACGAAATTCTTTCATTACGAGGTATTATTAAGCTATATAATCCGATCTCTTGACTTATCGCATTTTTTTAAACTTCCAGTAGACCTCAGGGGGTGTCTAGATGATGTAAGAGTTTACTGTAGAAAATCTAAATGCATCATTGCTATGAGACACAATTGGTTATAATTTATCATAATCCAAATAGTTCATTGTATACTCTGTGTCCAAATACCAGAAATGGATTAACATTTAAACTGAGTATACACACTGACTAGTAGTTCCATAGTAGAAAAATGAAACAAAAATAATAATATCATAGCCAACCATATATTTATATAGTTGGTTTATTATATTCTTCAAAATGCCGACAGGAAGATTGAAGCTCTCTGATACTCTTAAGAAATTTTAATACACAATATATATATTTTATTCATTGAAGATAGGCATGCAAAAGTGATGATATCTTTCAAATAGTTCTAAGAAAGTTTATTCTTCTTAAAGTTTTTAATTTAAATATTTTTATAAGATGTCGGTAATGCAATGATACATTGAATATAATGTAAGCAGTAAAAGATTAACTATTTGCCACAAGACCGATTTAAGTATACGTTTAGTATAAATACACTGACATGATATGTAGATAATAAGTTTGATAGATTAGACAGATCACTAAAGTATTTCACATGATAGAAGCATACACAGTATCTGGTCAACAAGTGATTAAACTAGATAATAGTTTGTTAACATAAAGTATAAGGAGTCATCTCAGTAGTAGTCTTGAATGAGAGTTAGATATAAAATATTTCCATTTGTCAAGATGATTGGATATATCTATCTTTAATAACTTGATGATCATGACTCACTAGCATATATCACATTGATAAACGAAATGCACACAGATGACGGTGAAAAATGTATCACCAGGAGAAGTTTTCTTCAAACATCTATTAACATAGGTTGTGCAGATTTTCGAAATTTATTGAGATCATGAACCGATTTAAGTTTGTTAACCATTGAGGACCTGAAAATACTGTCTTATCCTATTATGTGAATATTCAGTAGGCTGTGTGTTTTCATGACTGCGCCATAAAATCCGATTGAACGATTCAACAAAAAGACTATATTTTGAGCCTTATCCATGTGCTAGAAAATAGGAGAGCTAAGTGTTAATCTGTTAAAATAAAAATAAAATAAAACTCACTGTATTGATCATCACAAAAGTGAAAGGTTTTTTTACTTGTGATCTATTTGTAATTATAAATTAAAGTTCTTTGAAATGATCAATGCATGTCACATAATGTATCCATTTATGGACCTTCCTTAATGATAGCCTCCTTAAATGAGCAATAGTGTGAACCTTATGATTTGATTGGATATATTATTATTGGCTGTTTACTTACACTTTTGAATCATAAAATAGTATTCGATGATTATGAGCAATACAATTATAACTTTTTAAAGTTATACTCAACAAAATTTGACTGCAATTAGGGTTCTGTTGAAAACCAGAGAAAACCTGACTGTTATTTCGTTCTAGTATGTAATTTTTCAACTATGGGGTTCTTACAAATTCACCTCGGTTATAAATAACAACCTTTGGGTCTCAAGGCAAACACTTAACCGTAAGAACTAATGGATTGTAATGGGATTGTACAAATACAACGTCATTCAGTTTGTGATATGTTTAGACAATCTGAAGATTAATTGTTCGTTACAAAATCTAAATGTCTTGAGTTTAATACCTGTTAAAGTTTAGAGTTTACCCTGTTTAGAAGTCCTAAAATAGGACGAAATAGCTATGGAGTACTTCCTGGTTGTTATTTGCACCCCAAATGATATCTGTGATGAGTAAAACTAAACCAACCTCTACAAGACTCCTATAACTAAATTACAAGATTTGTCAACTTGGTCTCCTATACAACCGTTGGACAAAAGAGCTTAAATTGGTCATAATTTAATAAACGGTGCAACCATACGAGTTAACACTAAACACATTTAAGCATAGATTCACTATTCTTTCATAGGAGTGATAGAATGAGTTAGTTTTTATTATGGGAAATTAATTTTCGTTTTGAGAATGACATAGTATTATTCACTGTAGATTGAGAAAAATATTTAGACAATCTTAACTTTTATACAGACAAGTTAGGCGTTTGGAGGTAGTTGGTAGACGATCCATGATCGAGGTTTCATGCAATCTGGCACTCACCAACAAGGCATGCTTGTAATCTTAAGGGAACTAATGCTTCCTGCTGAATTGGAACCCTAGCCAGTTGCACTGTCTGAGGTGCTACGAATGCTGTATTTTGACAGTAATGCCAAGTCACTTAGATTAATCGACACACTGTAAACTGATAGACAGAATTGCAATAACTAAAGACCACACCAATAAAACATGATCATTAGTTAGTGATCAGTCAGTCTATTTAACTCTATATTAATAACGTGAAATTAATTAGCCTTAAATGAAAAGTTCGTAATTGTTTTATTGAATGTCTGTCCTTATAAGGTCTTCTCAAAAACTTGATTTTTTGGAAGGAATAAACCGGATAGCAATTGGAAAATATAAAATATTGGAATGGTTATTTTGTATAATCTATTTAACACTCATCATGAAGGCGTAATTAAGATCTTAAAATAGGTTGGCATGCGGCACAGTGTTGGTTCTTCAAATAATAAAGAGATAATTAACAGAATGTTTTGTTAATCGTAGAGTCACACAGTATTAAAATGGTAGGATGATTTTGATGGAGTTTTGTTCTCTGAACCACATCATCAGCACGAACTTCAGATAGAAGACTTCAAAAGAACGATGAAAGCTCCACGACTAAACTATCCAGCTCAGAGAACAAAACTCTATCAAAGTCACACAGTATTACATGCAACCATCTAACAAAACTTGAATGTGAATGGGATGAAAATCTCTGAATGACTAGATTAAATATATGTACTAGTATTAGACGTTCAACAGTTATACGCTTACATATATAGTTATATAATTAAAGTAATTTGTGCATCCAGTTATCATTCAGTGACTATCAATACTTGTATACATACAATATATATTTTGTTTAGTTCATACAGCTTCAGATTTGAATTGGTCTCTTGCTACTGGAATGTTTAGACCATTTGTAGAAGTTTATATTTTTGGACCATTATTATCTGATCGTAAACGTAAAGCTGCTACAAAATCAAAATCAGTTACTACAATGCCCATTTATCACGAAACATTTGTATTGTAAGTATCGACTATTTTTATATACTTAATATCAATTCGATATTTCATCTTAAAATGATTACAGTTAAATGGTATATATATGATTTCTTGTGTGTATATATTGACGCTTGACTATTGAAAGATTTGAAATAAAGTTGAGATAATTTAACAAAGTCAATGAAGATAAACCTACTACTGAGGTGTAGTAAACACACATAGTATAGCCGATAATGATTGAGATTGGGGTCATTTACTTTGGTAGTTTTCACAGTTCTCTGTAAAACACATAACTCAGACCAAGAAAACAGGTTTCTTCAATGTGTTATTTACATAAAAAGTAGAAATTAAACCACTAGAATGTAAATTGTTGAGATGATTCAAGGTATTCCAGATATAAAATAGAAGAACAATATAAGAACATAAAATTGAGTAGTTAATATTATAAGAGTTTTATTTTTATGGTTAGCGTTTTTTTAACCGGTTAGTTTTCTACTGAATGGGGTCGCTAACCCCATGCCTAACTCTCCTTCTCTACCTGGGCTTTAGACCGACAATAACTCTAGAAGAGCTACAGGCGGAGTTATTATAAGAGTTACTGTCATCTAAATTTACCTTATGTTATCTAATGTTTTTGAGCATAGATTATGACCAGTTAGCCTGCTACATTCATGAAGTTTGCATCTCTTGATGTGAGTCAATTTATATTGTCCAAGTATTTATCTCCATTTATGACTTAACTGATAGAATGTTTGTAACACAAGTTGATTTCCTTTTTACTGTATATATTCTTATATCTTAATATATGTTTCCATTTTGGTGGTGTTGTGTTCTTTGAATTAGATAATTTAATTGTAGAGCTATCAATGTCATTCTGGACAACATCATCTGTGCCTACTTTATGTAGAAATGGGCTTTACAGTTTTTCTGAAAGCGTTGTGCCAGCTTGTTTTGATAACTTTGAACTGGGAGTTAAAAATATTGTCCAGAATACCAATGAAAGCTTCACGATTAAATTTTCTACATTGGAGAATACAACATCACTAAATGCATTCACCTAAGGTCAAAATCTTACACTAAATATATTTTATATTTGACATTTTTGTATTATTAACAGTTTCTTATCCAATCAAAGTGATCCTGAATGGTATGAATTACATTTATCTGTAAAAGATTATTGTTTTGGACGAACTGATCGTCTTGTTGGTGTTACAGTATTATCTTTATCTAGAGCATTAAATCTTGGTGCAACTCCAATTCGACTTCCATTAGGACGACGTTTACATTTTACAGAAACTGGATGGACTGTATTACGTGTACTTTCACAACGTGTTAATACAGATGATGTAGCCAGAGAGTTTGTTCGTGCTAAATCTGAATATCGTGCACCTACAGAAAATGATAATATTGTATCAGTAGCACAATAGAATGGAGAATACTAATGATTTTATTAACATATTTATATATTTCAAGATATCATTCATATAATGATACATATTTTTTTTTCTTTTATGAGCAATAATAATAGATTAAAAGAACAGAAATCAGGAACAAAACTATTTATTTACTATTAACAATAATCCACAGGGAAAGAGATAGATAGAGAGAGAGAGGAAGAGAGAGAAAGAGAGAGAGAGACAGAAATCATATATAGTACGAAGTTACCAATACAGTATTTTTTTGATGATTTGCTTAATTCTTTCTCTTTTTTTTAAGTGCATTCAAATAATTTTCAAGAGATTTGCATTTACATACGGTATACATACTGACATACTTACGGATAAACAGATTGTAATATCTCAGCGCCTATTTTCTATAATTTCACTATTATTTATGTACTAATAACCTGAGTTATATTCTCTGTAATAATATTCGCCGCGTGTATAAAACCTTTTATACATATACATATATACATATATTGAGTGAGAGATGTGACAAAATCAATAATTTGTACTGAATAGCTCATATATAGAGTTAAAAGTGACCACATATGTACACAAATATACCCACACACACACACAAATATATATTTATAAATTTAGAAGATAAACAATTACATTGATTGTCATTGCTTATTGAAAACTTGAGCATGCATATACAAACAATCAATCTATGTATCCAATTCAGATAAATGAATAAATATGAATAAAGGATAACTGCCTACTTCTTTTTTGTTTGTTTTTTTTTTCATCCAAAGAGTTTCTTTTGTTTAATATTATTTATAAATCAGGAATTTATTTCTTCTTTTTGTCTAATTTCTTTTCTCGGTGGGGGGGGGGGGGGAGTGAGCGGCTTTGTGAACAGACAAAAAAGTGTTTTCAATAATACCTCAATCGTTATATTGTTGATACTTTTATTAAAGAATTGTAATAGATAACAAAATGATGTTTGAAATAGTTGGATTACGATCTGATCGATTGTGTATGTCCCGGAAAATGATTATTATGAAGTGTTTATACATATCGTTCAATTCATATCTTCTATCTATCCAAGTTTAACAGGAATGAGGTGACTGCTTAACTTTGGTATTTTCAAATCGAAGTCATACTATATTGCGACCATTAAGCCTGATCTACCATAGCATATCAAACAGTATACTTCTCTTCCTTAATATCTATGGAAGATAGGTAGAATACTACCAGTGAAAATACTTAATAAGCAGAACAGACTATCGAGAGTTCATGAACATAGATTGAGACTATGCTCCCTCGTATGCAGAAAACTTGTCACTGATTGGTCAACCCTCTTTAGTCATCAGCGTTCAGTGACCAGTCTTTTTTGTATGGTTGGAATCAACTTGACAGATAATTTAGCTAGAGTTCAGTGAAATTAAACTTATGCTGTAAAGTTTCACGGTTACTAATAGATATGCATGTCCAGTGCCATTACTGTTTAGGATTGCTGGTAAACCTTCCCTACGTGGCCAATTATTTTTGGTTGTGTTTTGATGCAAAAATGAAAGCAGATCATGTAAAAGTTTTGAAAAATTACATATTTTGCAAGTGAGTTGCTGGATACATATGTAACAGCAAAAGTGCAGAACTTCATGGAATGGAAAAATCTTTCTCAAACTCAGATACCTGCAGTCAGTTTTATATTAAGGGGCGGGATTAGACTACTCAAAGTTCTCTCTTCTTTTTGAACCAATCCATACAGAATCTCACCTCTAAACACAATTGGCTAATCCGCTCCGTACTTTCTGAGTGCTTCTACCATCCTAAATTTCGCCTCATAGAAGAACCTTAATGCTACTCTGTAAGAAATTCTAGTTGTCTTTTCTGAATGGAATCCTATGGCTTGCAGGTTTTCATTTTCCACAGTCTGATTAATGACTTCGTGACCATAAGATTTTCAGAGCAATGGAGTTGCACTTTAATAGAGTCTCGTCGAGGATCCGAGTACTTACTTACTTCCTTACGCCTGTTACTCCCAATGGAGCATGAGCCGCCGACCAGCATTCTCCAACCCACTCTGTCCTGGGTCTCCTTTTCTAATTCCATCCAATTCTTATTTATCTTTTTCATGTCTATCTCCATTTCTCGGCGTAGTGTGTTCTTTGGTCTTCCTCTTTTCCTTTGGCCTTGAGGATTCCATGTGAGGGCTTGTCTTGTGACACAGTTGGGTGCTTTCCTCAATGTGTGTCCTATCCACTTCCAGCGCTTCTTCCTGATTTCTTCCTCCGCTGGGATCTGGTTTGTTCTCTCCTACAGTACGTTGTTGCTAATAGTGTCCGGCCAACGGATCTGAAGTATTTTGCGTAGACAACTGTTAATAAACACCTGTATCTTCTGGATGGTGGCTTTCGTAGTTCTCCAGGTTTCCGCCCCATACAGTAGAACTGTCTTGACATTCGTATTGAAAATCCTGACCTTCCTGTTGGTTGACAGTTGCTTTGAGTTCCAGATGTTCCTCAGTTGTAAATATGCTGCTCTTGCTTTGCCGATCCGCGCCTTCACATCTGCATCAGATCCACCATGTTCATCAATGATGCTGCCCAAATATGTAAAGGTTTTTACATCTTCCAAATCTTCTCCGTCAATTGTGATTGGATCGGTGCATGCTGTGTTGTATCGGAGAATCCTGCTTTTCCCTTTGTGTATATTGAGACCTACTGCTGCTGAGGCTGCTGCTACACTGGTCGTCTTCTCCTGCATTTGTTGTTGCGTTCGAGATAGAAGGGCCAGATCATCTGCGAAGTCCAGATCGTCCAACTGCATCCTAGATGTCCATTGTATCCCGTGCTTCCCTTCAGCTGTTGACGTCTTCATGATCCAGTCGATCACCAGGAGAAAGAGAAAGGGTGAGAGTATGCAACCTTACCGGTTTTCACTTCGAACGACTTTGTCAACTGTCCTTCATTCACGATTTTGCAGTGTAATCCATCATATGAACTCTGTATGACGTTGACTATCTTCTGAGGCACGCCGTAGTATCGAACGAGTTTCCATAATGTTGTTCTGTCCACGCTATCAAATGCCTTTTCGTAGTCAATGAAGTTGATGTAGAGTGATGAATTCCATTCAATTGATTGTTCCACAATGATCCGTAGAGCTGCGATTTGGTCTGTACACGATCTATCCTTACGGAATCCTGCCTCTTGGTCTCTAAGTTGGGCGTCTACGCAGTCCTTCATCCAGTTTAACAATACCCTGTTGAATACGTTTCCCGGTATTGAAAGAAGAGTGTTGCCCCTGTAGTTATCACAGTTGCTGTATTGAACTTTTGTGATATTTTACGCCCCATTGTCCAGTGCATCTTGAGTTTCAATTTCATCTTGGCGACCAGCAAGTGATGATCTGATGCTATACCAACTCCTCTCTTGGTTCTCACGTCCTCTATAGTCCGCCTGAACGTTTTGTTGATGCAAATATGGTCGCTTTGGTTTTGCGTGGTGTGATCCGGTGAAGTCCATGTGGTTTTGTGAATGCGTTTATGTGGGAATATAGTGCCGCCTATGACCAGTTTATTGAAAGCACATAGGTTTACAAATCTCTTACCATTTTTGTTTCTTTCTCCCAGTCCATGTCGTCCCATGATGTCTTCATATCCAGTGTTGTCCGTTCCAACCTTGGCGTTGAAATCTCCCATCAGAATGGTCAGGTCCTTTGTTTGGCACTTCTCGACGATTGACTGCAGCCTATTGTAGAATTGATCTTTAGCGTCTTCATTGTAGTCATTAGTAGGCGCATAGCATTGGATGATATTGATTGTAATGCCCTCCTTTTTTGTTTTGAACGAGGCTTTGATGATCCTTGGTCCATGAGATTCCCATCCTATAAGCGCATTTCGCTCTTGTTTGGACAGCATCAATGCAACTCCTTGTGTATGTAGGGCATTTTCTTCTTCGTGGCCGAAGTATAACAGCAGCTCTCCTGAAGTTAGTCGTTGTTGTCCAACTTGCGTCCAATGTGTTTCACTGATCCCAAGTACCTCTATGTTGTATCTTCTCATTTCTCCAGCAATTTGGAAGGCTCTCCCGGTGTCCCACATTGTACGAACATTCCATGTATCTAAATAAATGGTCGCTCTGGTTGTCAGAAGGGGCATCAGCCTCGTAACTTCCGAAGGAATTCGGCTTTCATCATGAGGCGTCATAGTTCTTCTAAATGAAGACCTTCTGACTCCCAGGGCAGAAGTTAGAAGGTTTGAATAATTTTTCTTAGTTAGCGTTTTTTAGCGAGTTAGTTTTCTACGGGATGGGGACGCTAACCCCATGCCCAACCCTCCTTCTTTATCCGGGCTTGGGACCGGCAGTAGCCTCCGGAGGGACTCCAGGCGGGCTTCGAGTGGTATGACGTTATTGTTCATGAGTATATTTATTTGGTCACCTACTAGCCTTTTTGCAAATGATGGTGATATTAAGAGAGAATCAGATAATGTAGATAATATTTCTTGTTTTCTTTAACTTAGGACTTCTTAAGGTTACTCATAAAGGATCGAATGTGAATCTAATGTGTGATGAGTCTTCTTTCAAAGCCTTTGTCGGATATCTTGAGTTTTCGTACGAGGTTGCATTTACGTATGTGTTTCTATTTCTAGTTCAGGTGTTACAAGAATTTATCCATCCAAAAGTTTTGGGCTACTACACGAAAAAGTTCAAGTTGTCAATGAATTATGATAGGCCACCGGACGAACGGTAGAATTTTCGTTCTGAAGTTTGTGAGACTTTCGTCCTTCAGACTATGTGACAAATTATGATGGCTACTCGGTGGATTTTCCTTGAGCTAAGAAGTTACATGCGTACTCGATTTTTAATTTAGGTTTCTGATGCTAAACCCTGTAAGACTTGTTTCCCCACGCTATGGTGCCTGGATTATGCTTTACAGCCACTGGCAAAGTTCGGCTCAAATATTTCGTAAAGATAACCACGTTTAATGGGTCAACTTGCGAACGTGTAGATAACTGTAGTTGGTAGATGAAATATGCAAAGCTTCTGATTACCACAGTTACTAGTTCTATATCGTTGACTGACCCATTTACGTAAGTCACTGTTGGTCTGAAAGGTGTTGCGCAAAATGTTTGATTTCCAACTGCAACGCAGAACTAGTTCGCCTTGAAGGATGGTTTGACTTGGTCCCAGTGTTATTTTCGTGTTCTTACACGCCTTTTAACCGAAAAGGTTCAGGTTGTGAATCAGATCAAAATCAATATGACAAGTTTAGCAGTGTACTTTACCTACTTGTCGTAGGCCTATTAAATATTTTATCTTGAAAGATTTACCAAAAAGATGTTTCCAGTACCCAACCTGAGGTCTCTGTAACAAGCCCTATGTCTACTTCGATAACCAAATGAAAACAAATTCCCGTCTTAAGTTGTCTTCAATTGTTTACTTGTTGACATGCATATGTTAAACGACAAGTATCGAAAGAATGGAAAGGGACGATGTCCGCATCTCCAAACATATACTGCAGACGTTGAGAGTGAATGGGTCATAGTGCACGTGCTCGTCACTTGCTCGACAGTGGAAATAACTTTGGTGCTTCTAAATCTTTCGGGATAATTATTGAAAAGAGAATGTAAATTCATTACACTTCATCAAAGCTATTTCAACACAGAGAATAAAATCGAATTTTCGTGAACAATAATATACAGGTTGTTTTGCTCTGATGACCTTGTTTCTATGATGTAAGACTTTCCCATAGCTTTAATTGCAAATCTAAACATTTTAGTTCTCAGTTTCGCGATTTGCTCGTCCAGTCAATACTATTAGATGAACATCGCCCAATCGATCTTAGATTCCGCGGAACACTGTTTTGATTCTCTTCGAAAATACTTGTGCATTCGACGTATAAATGAGTGAACGTTTGAATACCATTAATTGCAATGTATTATCGCTTTTATTGTTATTATTCTACCTCTGGATTTTGATTCAGCTTATTTAATGTATTCTCGTTTTGTTTTAATGAACAATACCACAGTTTAATGTTGTAAACGACCGAGGAGAATCCACTAAGTAAATGAGCTCATATTATAATAATACTATATTTGTACTTTGTTTACTTACGTTTACAGGTTGGAAGAGTTGTATGAAACGTCTTTTGATGTAGTACGATCTAAGAAACGTTAGAATCGAATAAGGCACATTTATTGAAAAGGTAATAGAACGTAATGAACGTTTGTCGCATAACAATTAACGAAGATTTATTACACATTGTGTTCCAGTCAAATACCCTTTTCAAATGAAGGGACTTCCGAGATGGTGGAGAAGATTTTTAGCTCAGGTGGATGATTTTGGTGGAGTTTTGTTCTCTGAGCTGGATGGTTTGGTCGTGGAGCTTTCATCGTTCTTCTGATCGACATCATCAGCACAAACTTCAGATAGAAGACTTCAGATGAACGATGAAAGCTTCACGACCAAATCATCCAGCTCAGAGAACAAAACTCCACCACAAAGGGATTTCCGTAACACAATAATGCATAAGAGCACACACAATAAAAATGTCTCGTATTAGGAAGCGAGGTATTTGGAGTTCAACCTCAAGGATTTATTTAGCCATAATTATTGCGAATAACGGTAGATGACGTTTTAAGTTGTTGGCTTCCATAGATGTTTGCGTGAAGTAGACTTACTTACTTCTGTTACTCCTCGTCATGGAGCACAGATCGCTCATCAACACTCCCCATCCAACTGTGTTATAGACAATCCTTCCCGATTCTTTCAAATTCCTATTGTCCTTTTTCATGTCTGTTTCCAGTTCCAGACGTAGTGTGTTCTTCGGCTTTCTTCCTCGTTCGTTTTCTTTCAAGATTTCAAGTTAGTACTTACCACGTGACTCAATTTGATGATTTCTTCAATATGTGTCCTAACCACTGTCAACGTCTTTTCCTAATTTCCTCTTCAACTGGAAGCTGATTTGTCCTCTCCCACATTAGGCTGTTGATGATGGTATCCGATCAACGTTTATTCAGTGCCTTACATAGACATCTTTAATGATGATCGTGGTTGTTCTCCAATTTTCACCTACGTATAATAGAGCTGTATGACGTTCGCACTGAAGATTATGACTTTGATATTGGTTGACAGTTGTTTTGAGTTCCATATGCTCTTCAATCATTGGAACTCTGTTCCTGCCTTTCCAATCCTGACCTTTACCTCTGTATCAGATCCTCCCTGTTTATCGAAGATGCTTTTCCGGGGAGTCAAAATTCCTGTCAGTCTCAAGCTCCGGTTAAGAGTATGGTTGGGCATGATGTCAGCGAATATTTTATGACTGTAAATTCAACAACTTGCACACTCCACCCTTACTCAAGTAGCCATCCGAAGTCTTCTACAATCACCTCTTAGTCATCGTTTATTGAGAAGATCCGATTCAAGAAATTTGGGAATAAAATATGAGTAAAGAACTTGTAATTGTCTCATTTATTTTGAAATCCTAGCACATGAAGAAAAATTTGCATTCTGTGAACATGCTAAATTTTATTTCTTTCGTCAAATTGTCGACACAAATGTGTTTAAATACTCCAATATATCAATTGCATGACGCGGAAAATGCGACTCTTGAGCTCCGTATCGCGCATTTTTGGAGTTGTAAATAGGTTTGCTTGTTAATTGCTCACGGTTGTTTATCTTATTTAGGAAGTCATCTTCAACCACTGTAAAAACAGTTGCACTTATACCTGGTGATGGTATAGGCCCAGAAATATCGGCAGCTGTTCAGGAAATTTTTAAATTTGCTGATGTACGTTATATTGATAAAACGTCGTTTAATACATAATTTTCCATCTCTACCATGCCAATTGAACTCAATATAAACTGTTATTTTTCTCTACTGAGGTTTGGTCCGAACTTCTGAATTTTGATTTGAAAATCGAACGAACACTTAAGTGCTTGAAGTCACTTTTCCGTATCAAATTACTGTCTTAGTTAAAAACTCATTTTTGATTACTACAGCAACAGTCTTGAAAGTAAATGTTCCTCCAGTTTATACCTGCTTGCCTTTTCGTGGGTTTCCATCTGTATAGATGTATATCATCACGATTAATGCTAACTAAAATAATTCTAGCGCGTAATTCCAATAAACATTGAACCCAATAGTCAGAGTATCGAAGTCAGTACATTTTTCCACTTCATTGTGATTACTGTAAGAAGCAAAACCATTAAGAAGATTAGATCATTAGATCTTAATTGTCAATGTTTAACTGATTAGTAATTTCAGCCTGTCTAAATAACATGATTTTGCCGATTGTGTTTGGGGTTCTCATAATCCTAAAAAAAGAGTGGTACATTAGTGAATAAGAATACTTTTTTGACTTGCTTGGGTGGAACATAAAAACTTCTTATTACACTCCTCTGTGGTTTATTTACTTATTTATGTATTCAAACATAAACGTTGGTTCAAGGAGGAAGCAAATATTTGTGCACTGCATAGACCATCCAGTTTGTGTGAGAAATGAGATACTGCCATGGTGCTCAAACCCAAGTTATTCTGTAGAGTCGAAAATAATTTGTCTGAATTTAATTCTGGAATTTTTAACACGTGTAGAAGATCCTAATTATCATGGTGACACATCTGTTTGACGTATTTGATTTTACCACGAAAGTGTTATTGGTTTCAATCCGTTGCAAAAAATAATTTGGTTTTATCGCTTGTCATTTCATAACTGGTAAAAGTTTTTCTTTTTGAAAATACTAGGTTCCTATTAAATGGGATCCAGTGGATGTAACACCTCGACCCACAGAAGACGGTCGCTTTCGTATGCCACAGTCTTCACTAGATATTATACGCAAGCATGGGATTGGGTTAAAAGGTCCATTAGCTACTCCGATTGGGAAGGGTCATCAATCTTTAAATTTAGCATTACGAAAGTGAGTTCTATTTCTCTGTAATGCACCAAAATAGGCTTTTTGATTTGTTACTTGTATTTCTTTCAGCCAACTGGTCATATCAGAACTTAGTGATGGCTGTTAAGTGGTTGAAGGCTATTGTTAAGATCCCTAAGACCTAGGTTCTTTTCTAGTTGGTACTCATTAGAGATGTATGTCTGATGCTTCCTTTCCAATCGTAAAACGGCTGGCATGGTAACTAATCGGCCCGCTACTAGATTGTAGGATTAGGAAATTTGCCCTAATCGATCGCTGAGTAGTAACTAATAAGTTGTCACATTCTACCGATTGAATTACGATGGCTAAGATTTCTTAGTCTTCTAGTTAGTTAACAGTTTTATGTTTAGGAGTGTAGTATAAACGTCTACATCCACTTATGATGTGATAGTTAAGAGACCAAAGCTTTTTTATTTCGATTAAAATACCGAATAAAGCAATACATATATAGTTCTTGGCATGAGACCACATTCTTCCTAAGTAGTAGTGGTTTCTTCGGAATACATCCGAAAAAAGTGGTTAAAACGAAGATCGTCATTGGTAATAATAAGAATTGGTCAAATTAGAGGCAATATTTCAGGTCGTTGGTTGGTCAGGTAGGAATTTCTCGGCTCCACATTTCTATTCATACTACTACGTGGTCGGGAAAACTTTATTGAACAGTTTAGTCTTATGCCAAACCAATCAACACAAATCATATAACCACTTGTCCTCTGTAATTTGAAGTTCTAATATATATATATGGCGAGTGCTATTTTCATTCAATAATTCGCAGTCAAAGCAAGTATAAATTTTTGTTATTCTATGACTTATTGAAGTATACAATTTTGGGAGTGGCAACGGTATTTTTTGTTACCGATGTGTACATAGTCAATACGGGGTGTGGTCCCCTAGGAAAACCATCTGCTTCGGTCTGGGCACCCGGGCAGTATCACAGCCCTCACATAGATCGAATGATTTATGTGGCGCATATCTATTTGGTGCCTCCTTGTACCAATATCTATGTGTTAACATAAATAAATAAATAATCAATACAAGTCCTTCCTAATCATTGTGTTCAATTGACTTGATCATATCAAATAACTGCGCAATAAATTATGCATCGGTATGTTTATAGATGAATTTCGGACTGCTCATTCAGTTTTATGTATTATCACAGCACATTTATACTCATAGACCTCATAATTACTCGAGTACTTATGTATGAAAAGCACATAGTTTCTATGGATGAAAATGGGCGAAATGAATTTCCATATTTAACATGTAGAATTCTTGCAGAGGAACTCCAGTCCTGCGAAAATAACTGAGGCATGTAACACAGCAATCTAGGCTCTCGCATTTGAATTTTTGATGATTCTAAGACTCAAATACACCATGTAATTTAAGCTAGACAGCCCGTTAGTAATTTGTACGCACAACTGTGTACGTTGTAATCTGGTTTATCTAAACTAAACAGTGATGATATGGTATTCGACTTGATATATATATATATATATATATATATATATAACACGTCTTTTGCATTAGTCAGCGATAATGCTTAGCACTATGTCCTACGGCTCGTCAAATATCACATGACAAAATCGCCAATGAGAATACCGACTTCTATGACCCTGTCCGTGTACTGAGCCAACTATGCGTCAGCCATCACTATCATACCAGAGTCCTTATTGGTCCTCTGTATAGCAAATTCTCACCTAACCTAGCCCGTTTAGTCCAGAATACAAATATCAGCCTCCACTGTAAGAATCGTATTTTTCAGACATGCGTAGTTTATATACAAGCAGACCAGACCACATCACACCATAAAATGAAAAGTAACAATTATACGGAATCAAGCCACAAGTGGTTGTGAGTGAGGGATTCTGTAACTAGTATATTGCGAATAAATTAAGAATGATAAATCGTACAACAGTAGCCAATGAGTCAAACGGAAATTTATGATAAAAGGAATATGGATATGTATATAATCTAGTTACTTAATAGTAGTTATCCAATAGAAATATACGTAATAATAGCCCATACATAACTCTTAGCAGTTACCATTCATTTGTTCGTTCGGATATAACACTTAGATACTCAGACCCGAAGTATTTAGAACAAGGCTCAGATCTGGGACCAAACCAGCTGTGTTAGTTGCCATACTACTGGTCATGTTTATTTATTGTTTCGCATTTCCTGAAATTTGTTTAAAATATGCAGTTTTTAAAACTGTCAACACGTCTGGAGTGAAATACGTTTCAGAATCTCTTTTTTACACTATATAACTGTAGGTTTGAAGATGAGCGATTTGGAACATAAAGCAATGTATACGAGTAATCTATAAATAGTTTTTCTTAGTCTCTGTACTCGTCGTTTGACTTATAGTTGTATTCTAGATCAGTTCTATAACTGTTCTAAAATCGTATGATTAGTGACCTTGTTTGACCTTTCTATTTACTCATGTAGTTTCGTCACTTTATATTTTGTACTTAACTCTGTCTTACAAGTAAAATCAATCAACTTTTAAGACTCGACCCAAAATACTTAAGAACCGTTATACAAATCCATGAGTTTCGGTCTTGAAAATTACTTAAAGGAAAAATTAACAAAATCATCGATAACACTCAAACACTGCGAAAGTTAAAGAGTTATACAAAAATGTTTCGCCGATCAGTATTCTAAAATATATGCGTTCGGTTACAACCTTTCAGGGATTTTGTAGGATTGGAGATAATTTTGTTGTTTTCGCCCGTTACCAGCTTGTCAAAATAAAGTAGACTAGGGTTGGGTTCGAATCTGTATCCCTGTAGTTGAAATTCAGATGCTTTAACATGATTAGAACGATTCTTTTAGTATTCCCTATGTTAGGCACTATTTTATTACTAATTGTTTCGAAATGATTGCAGTCTATCATTTAAATATGAGGAAATCGTTGAAGTCATAATGCGAAATCGAGAATATGTAGTTCAACCTAACAAGGCGGTATTCACATTAATTGGTCACTGGATGTTTATCTGTTCTATATTACCTTGCCTTGAGTATCTACCAAATTTACTCTCTTAGTTGATCTCACCGTTCTGATATGATGTGGCACCTTGATCTGACACTCACTTATGTCAGGCTTTTTGTTATTACTGATCACTAACTTAGTTATTATTATGATCGCTAAATGGTCTCTGAGTTAATTAACAGAGGTGCTGTAATGGTGGAAGTGATTCAATTTTTTCTTTCTACGTTGTTACTGACTGACTGACTTCCTTACCTTACCTAAGTTGCTTAATAAATATGAGTTCTAACGTCAGTATGATGATTACAAGATATCCTCTATGTATCCACGAACAAAGTTTACTGTCGATTTCCCTTATCCATGTACAATATGTGTGTTGCCTACGAAATTGAGAGGACGGAAAGCGAATGTCCGGACCTTTAACCGGGTCAGTGGATTAGGAGGATCCACCTAGGGGAGGTAGGAAACCCTGATTCCAAACCAATAGTGCACATGGACTCCAGGATCCTGAGGGGACAAATAGCGTATTAACCACTTGTTAATCACTGGATACCATGAGACTGCATCTCCTGACGTTGCTCCACTGCTTTGTGGGTCGGACCTTTAGATTGAAGGCTCCGAGTGTGGCCTTCTGAGAGAGCCACCTGGTTCGGTTTGGACACCCGGGCAGCATCATATCCCACACACAAACCAAGTGACTTGTGTGGCACATACGTATTCGGCGCCCCTTTGTACCAATATTTACGTGAGGTGAGTCCGCTCTCCCTCTCGAACTGCTCTCACATGGCCATGCGTATACAGCCACTGCCAGGGAAGTCCTACTCACTGCCTTCTGGCGGCGATGCTGTTGGTGGACACAGAAGTTTTGTCTTCTTTTAAGCGACTCAGTATGGAATATAAACAAATTTGCGACAATAGATACTGGAATTCCTATAGCAACACCATTTATTTATATGGGGTTCCTTTGAAAGTGAAAAGCGTTGGATTAAAGCATAGTTTGAGGGATTTCATGATTAAACTAATGCCTAGTGAACATCTGTCAGATAGATTATTATCATTCTCTAGTAAACGATTGACGAAATCTAGACATTTATGCTAATGTACAAAGATACAACATCAATGCTTACCTTTGATCCTGTGACAACCATAGAGGGATTAGTTTGACTAACACAGCATCTAAAATATTAGCCTCAATAATTATCGAGCGCCTAACAAAGACTCGTGAAGTGCAGACACGAGAAAATTAGAATGGCTTCAGACCTAGTCGTGGTTGCATCGACCACTTATTCATCATTCGTCAGGTTCTAGAACACAGGCATGCTTATCGGCGTCCGACAATGGTGGTCTTTCTTGACTTAAAAGCAGCATTTGACTCTGTAGACCGAGAGGTTCTGTGGCAGTGTCTGTGATTGCAAGGTGTACCCTAGAAATACATAAACCTTATGAAGACTCGAACAATACCAGTCGATTAAGAGCTTATGGTGAACTGTCACCTGCTTTTGCAACCTCAAGTGGTGTCCATCAAGGTTGTCCACTTTCTCCGTTTTTGTTTAACTTCATCATAGACGTACTGATGGAAATTTTTTGGCGTTGATCTCCTTTTAGGAGGTCCACTTATCGACTTGGAATACGCAGATGACATAGCCCTGTTTGGTGAAGACGCTGATAAAAAGCAGTGTTTTGGTTTCACTGAGCAACAATACCAAAATGTTTGGGATACGCTTCTCCCCCTCTAAATACAAGTGGTTACTTCAGGACTGACCTGCGTCAACAGCTGAACTAAGGATAGGGAGTGAAGTAGTCGAACGCGTCGACAAATTCACTTATCTTGGAAGTCCGATCAGCCCTAATGGGTTGGTGTCTGACAAAATGTCAGCACGGATTCGAAAAGCTCGTTTGGCTTTTGCCAACTTACGTCACCTATGACGAAGGTGAGATATCCGTCTATCAATTAAGGGACGAGTATCCTGTGCAGCCGTTCGTTCTGTTCTACTTTACGGCTGTAAAACGTGGCCATTAAGAGTAGAAGATAATCTGATCACAGATGTCTTGGAAATATTGTTCGCATCTGCTGGGATTACCGGGTAAGTAATAATGAGGTTAGACGAAGGAGCATTAGGGAATGACGATGGTAAATCAGTTGATGAACTTGTGAATCTTCATCGACTGAGATGGTTGGGCCGCGTGTTACGTATGCCTGAACACCGATTACCACGACGCTCAATGCTGACTAGTGTTGGGAACGGTTGGAAGAAAGTTAGGGACAGCCAAACCAAAACGTGGCATCAATGCCTGTAATCACTAACTTCTAGTCTGAGCCGTGTTGGTAGATGCAGACTACTTGGTTGGGGTCCACGTGACTAACGTAACCAATGGTTGAAGACTCTGGGTGAAATGGCTCAGAATTAATCTCCATGGCGTCGGTGTATACACTTTTTGTGTTCCCTTAAATCATGAGATTAAAGTCACTTCTTATTTTTATTTCTATCAACTAATTCTTTCTTTCTGTACTATTTCCTTACATAAAATCTTTCTTTTTTATATATTACCATCACTGAATTAACTACTTCTATAAATCCGGTGTGGGTCCGCTATTTGTCTTCAAGGAATATCAGGCTTTTGAATATTTGGTAATCCATAGAAGCGTGATATGGTGTTGGGTTTAGGGTGTAAAGTAATCCATAGGGTTGTTTATTCACTCTGAAGAAGTGGCTTACATCAAGTCATTAAACGTTAGGAATACAATTTTTCTATTGATTGAAATATAACAAGAAATATATTTATTACTAACTTTCTACAAAATGATCTGTTTATTTGAAACTATGAAGTTCAATCGTAGCATTGACACCTACAAATTTTTTTAGATAGTTTAAATTTCTGTTCGCTTCTTCACCGATGTACAGTAATTTATCGGATTAGCTTTCTCTGTTCACATTATCATAATTTATTTACAGAGAGTTCAATCTTTATGCCAATGTTCGACCATGTAAATCTATTGAAGGCTATGAAACTCCTTATAAAAATGTTGATTTGGTTACAGTTAGAGAGAATACTGAAGGTGAATATTCTGGTATAGAACATGTGGTAAGTAATAAAAATGTTTTTTTATATTTGTTCACGTTTTTTTCTCTTTTTACTCAGCTCACTCTTTTTGTATTATTCTATACTACTTGTTGATATTCAGTAACCAATTTTAATTCTAATAACTTTTGAACGTCGTGTAACATCGTATGTATATGAACTGGGTAATACTCAGTTTGTTTATTGTTGTAACTGCATTTCTTTAACATTTTTAATGTTCTCCTTTAATTCCAATATACTCGTTAAATATTTGTTTCATTTGTAACAGTTTCCATATAGTGATTGGTGTTATTCGTTCTTGTTTCGATCTAGTTTGCCACTGTAATTTCGACATAGCCATTAATTATCATATGGTTTATTGTATTTTGTTGTAACTAAGCTAACATATATATTTTGGAGACTGTTCTTCTGTAATTGTACATAAACACTGTAGCTATGGTAGATACCTCACGAGTTGAGGTGTATAATGTATTTTATGTAATTTCATGATAATAGTACTGTATTGAACGAAGACTTCGATAGGAAGACCAATTTATTGTTTAATGGACAATTACACATTAGTTCAGTAAAATCTGAAACTCATACGTCAAATACATCATTTGCACAAGCTTCTTTGTTTCTTTATTCCTGTTGTTATCTTGGTTGCTTTCAGTTTTCCGATTTTCAGCACCATCTTTACGGATAATCTTCCATTCTAGTTTACCGGGTTTGACACATCATTCTATTGTCTGTTCGGAAACCCTGATAAGATTTTACATCAGGACTGAAGCAAACTTCATGACTTCTGGGTAGTATATGAATTTCAGTTGTGATGAATAAATATGCATACACTGGCATCCTATTTTATCTTCTTTTACTTCGATTTGTTGCTTGTATAGTTTCTTAGTTTAGTTTCATCCAATAATTCTGATTTATGGCCGTATTCACTTGGATTCCTTTTTTTTCTATTTTCGTTTTAATTTAAAATATTTGGTATTATTTTCATACATTTTTCAATCTTCGATTTTACACATTCTTCATTTAAACTCTGTATATTTCTTCTTCGCTTTCTTTACGGATGATTTTTAAAAAGTGTGACTAATTATACATTCGTGCCGAATTTCATGTTGTTTAATAATGTTTGTGTATTTGCCTAATGATTACTGAGGTTCTTATTGATTGAAAGTGCACTTGTGTTGTAACGTTCTGATCTGAATAAAAATGATGTATATTACGTTATTTGACTGATTGTTGATCAGTGATCACCATCCTTAATTACCATGCACGAAGGAATATGTCAGTCAGCCACTAAGACGCAACGTAGAATTTGGTATGTATGTACATCAGTCTATGTTGTCTTACCCTAATAACATAGTAACATAACACTGTTAGGGCGAACCCCAGAATAGTAGAGGTCGTAACAGTATCAGTGAAAACAGAAAAGATTAAGCATCAAAAATACGATTCAAGAAAACATAAATTAATTAAATTTCAAAAGAATTACAAGGAAGTCAGTAGAAGACAAAAAGTGGATGCATCTGGGTCATTTCATACTAGTTTGAGTCATGTCATTTAAACTCACTAACCACTAGTTACGATGACACGTAGGCCCTAACCAGGTAGTTTACACCTGTTAACATGGCTCAGCCCAATTGCCAATGATATCATGGACTGGCGCCTCATTTTGGTTTGTGAGCTTCTTGTCTTTCCTTTGACAGATGTATATCTTGTCTACTCCACAGTTGACACAAGTTCGTAGAAGTCAATCGAGCTGTCTGAATACGTGCTGAGATTTCGTCAGACACCAGACCATCAGGACTTGTGGGACTCCCAAGATAAGTGAAGTGGTCGGTACGCTCAACCATTTCACTCCCTATCATTAATTCAGACACCGACGCAGACCAGTCCTGAAGCAATATTTTGCATTTAGAATAATAGAATCGTCTCCCAAACATGCATGTGTATGTCATCTTATTCGTAAACAGTTTAAACTATAAACTATAGATTTATAAACAATCTAATCTCTACATTGAATTCTTCTTTCTCTCGTCCAACTGCTTTGCTTATCATTAATCCCAAAGTTAAACTTATTCACTTTAACCATATAAAACAGAAAAGGAAACGAAAATATTCTTTCATCTTTGTTAACGTATAAATCGTTTCGTCGTTTCGTTAAGAGTGTAGTGTCCGTCATTATTTTAAGCCCATATACCTTATTCTAGATTTCGGACATTCCATTCTATTCATTCTACTTGAGTCATATTTTGACCTTGTCAATTATTCGCTTATTAGCCTTGACTGTTTATATGAGCCTATATGTATGTACACTTCATGTCCCATGACTCATCACATGTCTGTAGTTTACTTTGTCTGCCTATAAATATTGAGTAATGCCTGGCTTGAAATGGAGTTGGCTTCCCAGCCATCTCCATTGCGCGACATTTTGCATTGTTCTATTAAATTCACTTTACATACAAAATATGTGTATTCAAAGGCTATACTCGTTAATTGACTTATCTAAATTCCGTTATTGACTAACGCGATTTAAGTCGATAATTGTATACGAGGATAGGTGATAAAGAACATTCGTACGATCTAAATAGGAGTCAGATCCACGGGCCACAAAAAGAGTTCTTTATTTCTTTTTGGAATTATGAGTAGTATGTTTATTTTTCTAACATATCATGATATTTTTTGTTTGTTTCATTGTCATCTACATGTGTACTAAACTATTATTCTTAATGTAACACTTTATGTATATGCATGTATATAGATTGTAGATGGTGTTGTACAAAGTATTAAATTGATCACTGAAGAAGCAAGTCGACGTGTTGCTAGATATGCATTTCAATATGCAAAAGATAATGGTCGACGTAGTGTAACAGCTGTGCATAAAGCTAATATTATGTAAGTTACTTTCGTGAACATTCTTATTCCACTAAAAATGAGCTTCAAATTTTAATGTTTCTTTGCCTGTTATGAACACTCAATTGTTTATTGAATAACTAATTTTGAGCGTTGAATAAAAAGTGGAGCCAAAAATATTTATTAATCAATGACCCCTCAGTTCCGCTGGTACGACCGAGGTCAGGGATAAACCCCTCAAAATACTTTCACATGACCACGAGTACATAACCATTGTCAGGGAAACCCTTTTCACTACCTACTCGTGGAGGTGGATATGTGGTTATAGTTTACAAAACTGAGAGGACAAAAGTGAATATCCAGTTCTTAAATCCACCTAGGAGAGTTGGAAAACCCTGATTCCAAACCAATGGTGTTCCAGAATTCTGCGACACAAAATTACGTATGGTCACCAACTGCCATGGGACTGCATTTCCTAACGTTGCTCCACTTTCTTATGGATTAGATCTCTTGGTCAAGGACTCGGGAAGTGGTCACCTGTGTCGGTTTGGACACCTGGGATGTATCACAGCCTACACAAATTTAATGATAACTTGTGTTCGTATATATAACTTGTTAACCAAGTACTGGTTTCAAGAACCAGTTGTTTCTCTCGAATGTCCAGACTGAAATGGATGTAAGGGTGTTTGTATCAGATAATTGAAAGCTGGATGCTTTAGGTACCAAGGTTTCTCTCCTTGGATCAAAATAATTATGACTTCTGTGATATTTGAAGACTGATTATGCTGATAATTTAAAACTCAAGTTTGATATTCATGGCTTCAAGAGATAGGTTGTCAGTCACTAACTAAGCTACCATTTGATATGATCATGTTTTATACAACTAGAACTGCCATGTTCTTGTTATTTGACATCAGTGTGTATTTTTGCGGAACTTTTATGGATCCGACTTAATATAATTGTTATGACGTCCCATCTTCTCCGAACTTGGCATCATTTTGATGCCTGTGACTCATCAGATTACTTTGCGTCAGCTTAGCACAGATATTTCACCAAGCCTACTGCATTACCATTCGGAGTATACCATTTTATTTTATGGAGGTCGCTAATTCGGAATGCTTATTTAGGTAGTAAATTTACAGACTGTGGTCTGTGTCCCAAACTTCTGCCTAATATTTACACATTATGTATTACTTTAATCATGTAGTTTTCCTCTCTAAAATGACTGCTATTAACTCAACATACAAATGGCATCTGTAGTCTGCACTACTGAATGCTTGGTCAGTTTCTGTCTCGAATACAAAGACAAACGAGTTTTCACGATACTATAGCAGATAACCTCTAGTCCCAGATCATAGTTTCCCAGTTACATTATGTTATGACCTGTGGCTTGTTAGTTATATCACATGATTTATTCGACAATTAGAACACCGACTTGTATGACCAAACCAAAGACGAAAAAACCGGTACAATCAGCCTAGAGTCCTTATTGGTCCTTCTCGTCTAGCACTGCCAGTTGAGTCTATAACACCAATATCGCCTTCCACTATATGAATCATATATTTCAGGCACACTTGGTTCATATACAAGCAAATTAGACCACATCATACCATAAAATAAAAAGTAACAATTATACAAGATCAAGCCAAAAAAAGTGGCTGTGATTGTGAGAAACTGTAACTAATAAATTGGCAATAAATCAAGAATGGTAAATCGTATGATAGCGGTCAATTGGTCAAATGAAAGCTTATGATAAAAGGAATATAAATATACATAATCTAGGTACTTAACAATTATACAGCAAGAGATATATGTAATAATAATAATCCATAAATGGTTCCTACAAGTTACACATAATTTAATCTTCTCCGGATATAACATATTGATGCTCATAAATAATCGTGGAGAAAATAATTTCAAATCATCACTACCAAATTGTATAGTTACTTACTTACTTACGCCTGTTACTCCCAATGGAGCATAGGCCGCCGACCAGCATTCTCCAACCCACTCTGTCCCGGGCCTCCTTTTCTAATTCCATCCAATTCTTATTCATCTTTTTCATGTCTATTTCCATTTCTCGGCGTAATGTGTTCTTTGGTCTTCCTTTTTTCCTTTGGCCTTGAGGATTCCATGTGAGGGCTTGTCTTGTGACTCAGTTGGGTGCTTTCCTCAATGTGTGTCCTATCCACTTCCAGCGCTTCTTCCTGATTTCTTCCTCCGCTGGGATCTGGTTTGTTCTCTCCTACAGTACGTTGTTGCTAATAGTGTCCGGCCAACGGATCTGAAGTATTTTGCGTAGACAACTGTTAATAAACACCTGTATCTTCTGGATGATGGCTTTCGTAGTTCTCCAGGTTTCTGCCCCATACAGTAGAACTGTCTTGACATTTGTATTGAAAATCCTGACCTTGGTGTTGGTTGACAGTTGCTTTGAGTTCCAGATGTTCCTCAGTTGTAAATATGCTGCTCTTGCTTTGCCGATCCGCTCCTTCACATCTGCATCAGATCCACCATGTTCATCAATGATGCTGCCCAAATATGTAAAGGTTTTTACATCTTCGAAATCTTCTCTGTCAATTGTATAGTACATACTACTATAATTGTTAAGACTCGATATTTTAGAAAGGTAATATAAATTAATTGATTTGTAATTTTTTTTTCCTTCTATTTTCCATCCCTTTCCTCAATAAAAAGGAGAATGTCAGATGGTCTATTCCTTCGAGTATGCCGTGAAGAAGCTGCACACCATAGGGACATTGAATTTTGTGATATGTTTTTAGATACTGTCTGTTTAAATGTAAGTTAAATGTATAAAAAAGATTATTTATGGAAGTTATTAGATATTCACAACTTCTTTTTCATAATATTTTTCTCTTTTGTTGATGATTGAATATCTTGGATAAAATACATGGTGGTTGCATACATTTCCTTCTCCAAACCATACTTTAAAAGTTTATTCTTTTTCTCACTGTCGTTAATACTACTACACTTTTGTTGTTCATTTGACTGTAGGTAGGAATTCTTACCGACTGCCTACAATTGTCTGATTATCTTAACATAGTATATGAGATGTTGAGTCACTTAGACAAGTACTCGTGATACAACTTGGTCCATAGAATTCAATAACTACTAAGAATTAGACAAATTTAACATTATTCATTTTTTCATCTTACTGTGCTAATGTGTTTTGGGTATTTAACTTAGTGCATATCTATGCCAGTTCTTGCGTTGATTACAACTAACTGACTGATTCATTCATTCATTGATTCACAAACACTAACTGATTATAATCTGTCATCTTATTTCTTTTACTAATCATCGAATTCTAAAAGCATAACTGTCTCTTTATGTGTATTCGTTAAAAATACTATGCATATTTCATGTAAAAGATGAAGCTATCGAATAGTTATATCAATTTGTTTTAATAGCCTTGTTTTTAATTAGTAGTTATCTTTGTTTCTTTTTTGTATTGAAGTGAACGGTGAGAAATACGCAGGAAGTGTTATAACTTGTGACTGCTGATTAATAAGCAGTAACTTATCGATCGGATCAAAGACGCGTAAACACGTATGCGCAGTCTAGAGTTCTGATTGACCCTACTTTCCGCCTAGCCCAACCAGATAATTCCAGAACAAAAGTCTCAGCCTCTGCGATATGAATCATGTATTTCAAACATACGTGAAATAAATATTGGCCAATAAGAAAAATGATTCCATTTCAAGTCCAAGGATAGCATTAGACTTAACAGGATAATTTTTGGGATATTTTTCTGAATATCCCAACAGGAAGATAACAGGATCTCTTAAAACTTTCAAGTTATATGCATAAATTGTTATAACAATTGTGAAATAAACTTTTTAAAAAAAACTATTCACCTCTATTTCAAGTAAGCGTATAACAAATTATTAAGACAATCTAGTCAGCAAATACCGTATACCACCGAATAATTATATGACTACCATATATGGTACTCACTTGTTGCTACAGTGATAATGATGTATTCTAAAAAGTCCTCTCTTTCGTTGATCATCATTATTATTGTTTTTTTCTGTTGTTTTAAAACAATGAACAAGCGACCGATTTAAACGTTTGAGTCATTTATTTCCTAACTGTGCAAATCTTGCACTTAATCCATTTGTTTTGAATCTCACTGATATCATGAACCGATCTAAGTTAGACCAATATTAAAAACCTGAAAGCATTGGACGGCTGTTTCGTCGTAGTATGAGAATCTTCATTAGTGCTAATCTAATACCCAGCATGGAGGAATTGAGATCAAGATCTTCGGTCTTGCGTGCTAACGCCTAACCTCCAAACCACTGAATCAGCACCCCCTGATGATGTTAATATTTAACTTTAATTATTCCATTCCACTGTGTGTCCATCTTCCATCATCTGTGGTAAGTAACTATCTCACACCCGATACGGTTTAGCCACACTGGTCTACACGAACTCTCAACAGAACTCCAGAAATTGTTCTTGATTTGTCTAAACTAAATACTTATGAATGTTGGCTGTATGCACTGAGGCCCTTCTGTGAAAGGGTTCTAAATTGTTGTGAATCTATGTACTGAAACACTTAGTTTGTTGAAATATTTTATTCACTTTCTATTCTTTGAAAAAAAAATAATCAGAGACAACTACACTGCAACTCGTGCTTCTTTTATATGATAAACGGAAACAATGATCGTAGCATTTGAACTGGTAGAAAATTTTCCCAATTACGGACAAATACCAAATACCTGACCATTAAAAATATTTATAAAATATATTATGAAATAATTACAGTTTGACTACTTGTTACGCAGAAATTCGTTGCAGTATTATACAATTGATACTGTGAATTCCTTGCCGTAATGAAATTTTTAATATTGAATAAAGCTATTATTATTGTTATGATTCGTTTTATAACCGTGAGAATAATTAAAATATCAGTTATGAATATGGATACATTGAGTGGAATTTTCTCTTTCTTTCTATATCAGCTTGTTCAAGATCCAACTCGTTTCGATGTATTAGTTATGCCAAATTTATATGGTGATATATTGAGTGATTTAGCCGCTGGTTTAATTGGTGGTCTAGGTGTTACACCAAGCGGTAACATTGGTGAAACTGGAGCTATATTTGAATCAGTAAGTTAGTAACTTTTTATATTAATATTTAACTAACGTTACTTGTGATGCAAACAATTTGTTCATGTATTTTTCGAAGCATAACTGTTTCTGTTCAGCAGTTCTTTCTGTACTATATTCTGTTTGTGAAATGCGACCTATGGGAAAAGAATACCCTCTCGTAGGCTATTGGTTTTTGAACGTAGGTATCTCCGAATTGTCGCTCCCGTATTGTTGAAACACCTAGGGACTGATGTTGAGATTAGGAACAAATAATTAGGCTAAAATAATGAATCTGTTGGTGAGGTTGTGAATGTATATCCTCTATATATATCCAACCATCGTGTATCTCAACGGACAGCGCTAGCTGGTGCGATCGAATTACATCGTTTTCTGGGCATTTGGAAATATAGTGGACAAAAGTTAACCCTCATAGTTAATCGTTAATTTTCAGAAGTGTTATGACCTTGATGTTTGTCTTTTTCTATCACGCAACTTATCGACTAATCAGAATACGACTTACACGATTTCGCACTATGCCAAACCAATGACGTTCAGCCGGTGTGGGCAGTCTAGCGTCCTTATTGGTCCTATGTCCTACAAGCCCTTCCACTTGAGCCCAGAACACAAGACCAGCTTCGAATCAGAGCCCGACCGTTGTTGCTACCTCCCGACCGTTGTTGCTGCCTTGACGTGGTGGTCGGGCTTGCCTATCGTGATGAACCAACCGAGCTATACTGGCTGGAACAATCGTTCCTCAAGGTCCTACCATGTCAGACAGGTCGGTTGAAGAGCGGTAAGACTAAAGGCAACAAACCTAAGGTTCGAAGGCGAAGTCGTACTGCTGACTGTACAGAGGTGTGACAGCAGTAAGGTGTTTCCTTCAGACAACCAGCATGACAGCGATGCTGCCTTCCCACAAGGAGGGGTGGGGTTAGAAAAGGTCGACCCTAAAAATGCACACCTCGCCTTACCTCACGGATTTCCGTCTCCGGCCGTAAGGCTCTTTGAAGAACGGAGCTAACACGTCAAAAACCTTCCACAAAAAGGCCGTGCGCGACCGGCCTCAAGCAGTTGTCCCTTGGGCACTGCGGTCACGCTCTCAGGTCGCTGAGACCGCCTCTAATCCAATTTCCTTTTCAGGTACCTCCAGAAGAACCCTTCCACTGTGTGGGCACCCGGGAAGTGATAACCGCCCTCATACCTCTAACAGCACCCAAGACCACTGTATTCATAATCAACCTTCCTCTTCATTTCCTATTATTCCTCCTACATCGAATTTGAACCCTAAACTTCCTCCTTCGGCTTCTTCCTCAAGTGTCACCATAGCCAACGATTCTAGTGCTCAAAACTCTGTCCCAGGTCTACTGAAACCTCGCTCCAAACTACACATTGGAGCTTTCAACGTACGCACTCTATGTCAAATCGGTCAGCAGGCTTCCTTGGCTAAAACCCTAGAGTCTCTTTCCATTGATGTATGCTGTGTCTCCGAAACACGCATACAAGATTCCAGTGTGGTCATTCACTTGACCTCACCTCGGCAAAACGGAGAGCCAACGAGATACACCCTACGTGTATCTGGTGACCCGATGGCCAGTTCTCGTGGACTGGCAGGTGTAGGCATAGCACTAAGCATGAGGGCGGAACAAGCACTGCTAGAGTGGATCCCCATCAACAGTCGTCTATGTGCTGTTCGGCTAAACGGCTCCGTAAGAACTCGGAAGGATAGGGACACACGTCGTTGCCTTTTTGTCGTTTCTGCCTACGCTCCCACTGACTGCAGCTCAGATGAAGTGAAGGATGAATTTTACAGAAAGCTTTCTGAACTTCTTCAGATAGCTAAACGCTCAGACATAGTACTCGTAGGGGGTGATTTTAATGCCCAGATAGGTAGCTTAAACCAAACAGAAAGGCATTTAGGTGGATATTTTAGCATTCCGGCACAACGAACAGATAATGGTGATCGTCTGCTGCAACTGTGCTCAGACAATCGCTTATTTTTAGCAAACACAAATTTTAAACATAAGGAGAGACATCGTCTAACATGGCGACCCCCTACACCAAACCAACGATGGACTCAAATAGACCATATTGCCATCAGTCATCGTTGGAGAGGGTCGGTAGAAGATTGTCGCTCATTCTGGAGTACCTGCTTGGACTCCGACCACGCCCTAATACGGGCACGCATCTGCTTGCGCCTCACCGGACGCAAAAAAGCCACATTAAAAAGACCAATTAGAACTGAATTGAGTAACGAGAAAACCAAAAATAGGTTCCAGGAACAACTGAGTTCACACTTAGGTAATTCTGAAGACGAGGCTGACCCAGATGTTGCTTGGAAAGACATACAAGCAGCTGTGGAAGCAGCAGTGACATCTATTAGCAACTTAAACCACAGAGTTTCAAAGGACCAGTGGATTTCTTCAAAGTCTATCACACTGATGGATTCTCGCAAACTCGTCCCATCAGGTTCCGAACATGATGAGGAGCGACAACAAATCAGATCTAGGTTAAGAAAAAGTCTAAGAAACGACCGTGAGCGGTGGTGGGCAACGAAAGCAAAAGAGATGGAAAAGGCGGCGACTATAGGGAACACAAGACAGCTTTACAGACTAATAAAAGAAACTGGAATTAATAAGTCAAGTGTAAGTGAGATTATATCAGAAAAAGACGATACACTCATCTGCTCCCAGTCCAGGCGTTTAGAACGATGGGCTGAACATTTCAGAGAACAGTTCAGCTGGCCTTCAGCTACTCTACAACTACCCTCCATTCCCAGACAGCGTGAATGGAACATCGAAGTAGGTCCCCCAACTCTTGCTGAAGTTCATAAGGCTATAGATAATCTGAAACGAGGAAGGGCTGCTGGTCCAGATGGATTGGTTCCAGAAGTCTTTAAGGATGGTGGTCCAATTTTAGCGGTTAGGTTGACTAATATTTTAGCTAAGATCTGGGAGTTAGACGTTATTCCATCTGACTGGTCACAATCACTTATCGTCCCAATATATAAGAAAGGGTCAAAATCATCCTGTGACAACCACAGAGGGATTAGTTTAACTAATATAATATCTAAAATACTAGCCTCAATAATAATCAAACGCCTAACTAAAACTCGTGAACTGCAAACACGAGAAAATCAAGCTGGCTTCAGACCTGGTCGTGGCTGCATCGACCACATATTCACCATTCGTCAGGTTCTAGAACACAGGCATACTTATCGGCGTCCGACGATGGTGGTCTTTCTTGACTTAAAAGCAGCATTTGACTCGGTAGACCGCGGGATTCTGTGGCAGTGTCTGTCATTGAAAGGCGTACCCCAGAAGTACATAAACCTTGTAAAGGCTCTTTACTCGAACACTACTAGTCGAGTGAGAGCTTATGGCGAACTGTCATCTAGTTTTGCAACCTCAAGTGGTGTCCGTCAAGGATGTCCACTTTCCCCATTTTTGTTTAACTTCATCATAGACCTACTAATGGAAATAACTTTGTCGTCGACTGAGTTCTCGGGTATTGATCTCCTTCCATGAGGTCCACTTATCGACTTAGAATACGCAGATGACATAGTCCTGTTTGGTGAAGACGCTGACAAAATGCAGAGTCTTCTAGTAGCACTGAGCAACAATGCCAGGATGTTTGGAATGCGCTTCTCTCCCTCTAAATGCAAGTTGTTGCTTCAGGACTGGTCTGCATCAACACCTGAACTAAGGATAGGGAGTGAAGTAGTCGAACGCGTTGACAACTTCACTTATCTTGGAAGTCTGATCAGCCCTAATGGGTTGGTATCGGACGAAATCTCAGCACGGATTCGAAAAGCTCGTTTGGCTTTTGCCAACTTACGTCACCTGTGGCGAAGGCGAGATATCCGTCTATCAATAAAAGGACGAGTATACTGCGCGGCAGTCCGTTCTGTTTTACTTTACGGTAGCGAAACATGGCCATTAAGAGTAGAAGACACTCGTAAGCTATTAGTATTTGACCACAGATGCCTAAGAAATATTGCTGGCGTCTGCTGGGATAATCGGGTAAGTAATAGTGAGGTTAGACGCAGGGTATTAGGAAAGGATGGTAAATCAGTTGATGAGGTTATGAATCTTCATCGACTGAGATGGTTGGGCCACGTGTTACGTATGCCTGAACACCGATTACCACGACGTGCAATGCTATCCAGTATTGGAAATGGTTGGAAGAAAGTTAGGGGCGGCCAAACCAAAACGTGGCATCAGTGCTTGAAGTCACTAACCTCTAGTCTGAGCCATGTTGGTAGATGCAGACTAGTTGGTTGGGGTCCGCGTGACTATCGTAACCAATGGTTGGAGACTCTTGGTGACATGGCTCAGAATCGATCACAATGGCGTTGGTGTATACACTCCCTGTCTTCCCTTAAACTATGAGATTAAAATCGCTTCATATCTTTCTTTCTACGAACCAATTCTTTCTTCTTGTACTATATCTCTATATGCAATCTTTCTCTTATATATTACCACCTTTTACCTAACCACTGTTATGAATCTGGTGTTCATCTTGTTGTGTTGATGCGGTATGGCAACCTGGACCGATGCACACATGTGCCTGGTCCTACGTTGTAGCTGACTGACTGACGAATCAGAGCAGATCGTTTATTTCAAACATACTCGGTTTATATATCAATCAGACAGACCACCACAATCAGACAGTACACAAATAAGCCAAAAAGTGGCTGTGATCGAGGGGAACAGTAATTAATAGACTGAACATAGCTTAAGAACCGTAAATCGTACAATTATAAATTATAGGTCAAAATAAAGCTTATAATAAGAGGAATATAAATATACATAATCTAATTATTGAATAGTTAGTTATACAATAAGAATATTTATAGAATATTAGTCCATTAATAGTCCACGGAAGTTATCTGTAATTTAATCTTTGCTCGGATATAACAGTAAGTTGATAAATTTCCTATCGAACTCATATCTTAAAGTTATAGGCGTTTCAGATTGATTTTCTAAATGTGTACTTTTGTATCAAATATTCCGTTTATTCAAAACACCTTGGTAGTTTACTCCTGTCCTATCTTAGTAGAAACTATGTGGATGATTATCGAATAAGCTGAAACGTGTTTCAGGATCATCTGTTATGATATGTCAGCTTCTTACAAATCACATACACGTTTTCTCTCGATTAGTTTAAGATCTTGAAATGGCGCCTTCCTATTTTTTAAGAGCTGATTTAAGTCGATTTTTCTCAACTGTGGATCATAATCCTACAGACGTAACATGTATTAACCTGTAGTTATCCTGGAAATTTTGTGTCATGCGATTAGAATTTTTTGTATTTTTTCGTAATAGTAATATCCATTATACATATTTTCAGGTACATGGTACCGCTCCTGATATTGCTGGTCAAGATCGTGCCAATCCAACTGCTCTACTGTTTTCAGCCATTATGATGCTTCGTTATATGAATTTAAATAAGTACGCAGATTTGATTGAATCTGCTGTATTGGCTACAATTCGTGAAGCGAAAGTATGTCTAGTTGTTGTTTCTACAATTTCACGATTATTTATATTACTTACTTCGTTTATCAGTAGTCAGTATTTTATTTAATAAACTTTTATTGTGCAGTCTTCTGTAGTCCGGATATTAAAATTCCTGTATGAACTCAAACAAAGCAATACGACCATTTTTTTCCCATCTTCTCTGGTATTCTATGATGTTACATAAGGGTTATTGAAGTTTTAAATGTACATTGGAAATATGACCAGAACATACGTTTTATCCCACTTGAAACTCGTCAGCTGGATGTACCTGCATTATCCTAGCGTAGATTGTAGCTAAAACTCAGTCAAACTATTTTTTGCGTCCAACACCAAATACATGTAACTAAATGACATTATCGACACCAGGAAACCTCTTATATCCGAAAATCTCTTTATCGCCAACTAAAATATGACTGGAATATATTTGTACTTCATTTACTCTTTTTAATAATACACCGGTTCGTGATAAATTCACAGTAAATTAAGGAAGGCACAACAAACAATATTAGTTTATACATCACGAGAAAACTTACAAATAGGATCATGTAAAAATACAATCATTTAGTTCATTAATAGTTAAAGAACAAGGATGTAAACATTAATTTCAAGTAGGAGGTAATTTCGAAAGTTCAACTTTTCCAATACTCGTCCCGTTATCACTATTATGCTTGGTGAGAATTCAATGTAGGATTAAGTAGTTTGCCAGTTCTCATATTTTTTGTTAACTACCATTTATAGTTCACAAGTTTGGTTGCAATAATTGGTATATATGTTTGTACATTGATTAGAGACAATTCTTTTCAATTTGGTACCAAATGGTAAATTATACAGGTTCAAAACTATCAGTTTGAGGATTGTTATCTACTCCTTTTTCATCTCTTATCAGATATCCTCCCTTCCCCCCCGCTCTTAGATCAATACTGAATATCTATCATTACTTCACATTATTTCTTAGCTTTTAAAAAATATGTTTTCTCGTAAGCTTGTAAGTTAAATGCAATTCTGTTTCATATTTGTACATAATCGATTACTTGATAGCTTCATTGCTTACAGTTTATTTCACTTGTTCATTTTTCATATTCATAGTTTTGTGCTGCAGTATTTTTTTTAAAAATCTGCATTTTATTCCACGAATTCTAACTTTCCCAACTATATTCTTCACAGTAATCAATGTTTTCTATTACCATCTATACCACTTATGTTTCTAGTCATCTTGTTAATTTCATTTCTCCATGCTAGTGGTATGTGAAGTTGAACGTACATTTTTGTCTGACTAATTATAAGAGGAAGGAAATAAATGTGAATGAATTTCACTATCCAGTATTAAGCAGTTTACCTATTGATGAAATCACAAATTAAACGAAATTTAAAATGATTACTGTTAGATTTCAGTTTGATAGATTAAAAATGAATCATTTGTCATAAGATCGGAAGTTTATGAATTTTATTTTTTAGGAGGGTCATGGATGCTCACTACGGCAAAACCATTATATCGTCCTTCTTGTAGTGTTTTTTCATACTTTGTACAAACATCTAGGAATTGTCGACATGTGTTTAATACTTGTTTGATTAGGTGCAATACTTCTTATTGGTCCATGTATATTAATCGAATCAAGAGTAAATGAGTTTGTCGATAATTTCATCTTATTTAGGAGTTGTCTTAGTTCTTTCATTTAACATATTACATCGTTGTAGTAATTCATAACAGTTAGTGAAAAAGAATAATTAAAATATTCAACTTGCACCCATTGTATCTTAAGCTTAAACCATTTCTTTTCTAGTTCTAATTGATAAGCCGAATAGTTTCACACAAAATATTTCAAGTAAAAGCACTTAACTTCGATTATAAAATCGAATACTATTATTGTACCTTAAGGTATTTTGTATGTTTATTAATTTTAGAAGTTTGTGGAGATTTTTTAAAATCTTATAATTTATATCACAAACTAACCTTAGTTTGACAACGATTAAAACCAGTAAGCATGAGATAGTTGTTTCGTCCCAGTATCAGATTCTTCGGGAGTATGCGTTGCCTTCTCCACTTTTCATCAAACACGGATATAGTCCAGATCTCGCTGCGAGCATCGAACACTTGAACCATTGAGCAGGGATTTAATGGTTTACATGTTTGATATTGAATCAGTTCACGATACTGCGTAATCATTGCTCACATTTGACATGGCTGAATTTTACTGCTCACCTCCTGGAATCAATTTTTCCTGTTGTATACTACACTAGTTTTCTAAATGTAAATTATAAACTATGTTGTATTTTGTTGTCGGTTGTTCATTACTAATCTGTCCACTTTGATGTTTGTTCAATTCATCAACTGTGTACACCTTAAGCCATTAATTTGTATTTATTTGTTAATTCTCGTTAATTCACATCATAGATTAACTTAAATAATAAAATCATAATCCATAGAACTCTGTTAAATGTGAATTAAAAAAAAATAAATAGAGATTACATCTGTTGCGCCTACATTGACCTATTTATTATTAATTACAAAAAGTAATAAATGAAAACCTGATACGATTTTCACGTTACATACCGGCACAACTAAAGTGATTTGCTACTTACTATTAATAATCGAAAAGTTTTCATCTTTTTTTTTCTTAAAAAAAAATAATGTGACCATTGGTAACGGAATTTTGTTGTACTTAAATGTTAATCAGCTAATGTTTGACGACAGTAATACAATAACTTTTTATAATTTGTCTCCAGCTTTTTATAATGTATCATTTTTACTAACTCACCCAGATTCAGGTTTTTACACTTAACTGTGAGCTACATTTTAAATGTGTGAAGTTTAGTGGTCCTACAAGCTGGTTATCCAAACTGAATTAAGTGAATTAGGGTTTGAACCTGCGACTTTGCGACCGTGTTTATTGAGTCTGACTAATCACTTCATACTAGGTTGATTATTCATAATAATTGATCTAGTTGCATTATCTTTCAATGAATAAATATATATGACAGTTTACTACCAATCTTTATCAATTAATTAAAACTATATTGCCCTTGTTCATTTGTATTGATTCTTTGAATATTTCCAATGGTGTTTTATGACTGTAATTAATCAGTCTCTTTTGCTATATGTGTATCCTGTGTGGATTGCTTCGATCTCACCCTTAAGTCACAAGCGTTTTTTGAACAGAGTTAGACAGTCGCTAGCAGTAGAATCCTGGACGCCAGTTTTAACCTATCCGGGACTCGTCATCTAGTGTATCTGCACTCTAGTGCTGATGGTCACATCGAGACTGAAACCCAGTACTGTTTCCTTTAAACACCATTATCCACTTAGCTACTGAGTTCAGATAGCCACTAGCTTGTATAACAACGGGGTTAATTTTGCTTCATTAATATTGGTTGTTTAAATCCTCTCGTTGGTGTTATGTCCTGCAATTGATCAGTCGCTTTTATTATATGAGGAAGTGCGCGCCCTAAATTCTAATGTTAATCACTATCCATCTCTGCTCATAAAACATTTTATTTTCATATCCCATCTTTCATTATTTATTGTACCAGCTTTTTATGTATTAAATTACGATTGATATCATGTTGCAAATTTACGATTATTAATTACATATGACTTAAGCAATTACCGAAAGTCTACATTGTTTGAAGTTATGCTTAAGCAAATCTAATCCTAAATGCGAGTTAATTCGATGCTTTCAATCTCTGACTGGGATTTTTATTACTGATATACAAGTTGGAATCTGATCTCCTATGTTTTGGTTTGTTCAGACGGTTCCTCAGACAAACAGAAACATATGGTGTAAAACAACACTCAAGGTCGCATTACTACTGTGGTATTTAGTCTTCAACTGTGACATCTTGTAGGTTTAAGTTATTTACACTAATCGATTATTGAATAAAGTAACTAATGTCATATATGTCTATTTGATGAAATCCAACTAATACGAATCCTTGATCCTATCGATTACCATAAATCATATAGTATGAAAACTTCAGGCATGCTATACCAAATGACCAACACTGGTCAGTTCAATCGATGAAACTCAATCAGTATTGAATAGTGGACATTTTTAAATACTTATTGATCAATTACCCTAGGGTTAGATTTCATTTATTTGTCCATATTTATGTTAACACAGTCTTACAAATGGGTTGTGGAGATGATGATCTTTTCATGCTGACTATTTTAAATATTTTTTTGTAATATTCAGTCATCCAGTGGTTTTATATAGTTTTTACTATACGACCTATCCATCTATTATGTAATAGTCTCACAATCTAATGTCAATATTATCTCTTATCTATAAATGTATTAATGTGTATATTTTAACTTATCGTATGATTCAGTGTTATAGTTTGTGAATAATGTTCCAAACATTTGAATTGTTCCAATTAATGTTATTTACAGTTCTAATAACTAAGTATTTCTCTCTCTCTCTCTCTCTCTCTCAGTATCTGTACGCCATAGTGTTTCAAAATATGTGTATGCATGTGTGACTTCTCTCAAAAGAAATAGGGACTTTTGTTTTCTGGTTACATCAATATACTACCACTTGATCATAACACAAACTCTCAAGATCATCACATAATAAGAATGAGCTTATGTACCAGTCCACCCACTTAAATATATGTTTGTACACTCAAATAAACTATGTACATGTACACAATTATCGAATCATATATATTAACATGATAATATGCATATAACTTCACAAAATGGCGAGACTATATGGATCATATGTTGTGCTTTTGAATAGAAAGAATGAATGACCTTGAACGGAAATTACTGATATATTAATAAATATTTCAGAAATTAATTAGAATTGACCAAATAGACCATTGAATTCCATTTCAGTGATTTATAGTTATTATATTAAATGTAAACTATGAAGGTTATTGACTGTGATCTCGACCCTACACGAGTCGTATTTAGACTGAAATGCATGTTCAAATAATAAAGCCTGTTTTCTAGTAGTCCTCTAACCAATTAGTATTCGTTACAAATAG